CTTCAGCCTCCTGGTGAACTCCCACCCCACAGCCTTGCCCCTGGCTCCCCTGGCTCCCTCCTTCCTGCCTTCTCTGCTGCTGGTGACCAGTTCTAGAACATTGCTGTCTTGCTGTTCCTGGAAACCTCCCGGTGAGGGAGGCCCTCACACCCCACATGCCTTCTTGTCAGGATATTTATGTCCCTGACTCCCTGTCACCTCCTGCCTTCCCTCGTGGATATTATTCCTGTCTCTATTCCCCCCTTTTCTTGTCTACCATTTGTCCCTCATTTCCTAACACTTCCATGCATATAGCTTTCTGCTTTTCCAGCTGCTTGGGGGGGGGGGGGGATTTCCTGGATGAATGTTGGCAGAGCTCCTGCCCCGTTCACAGGTCCTGACTCAGAGCCAGGGGAGCCCCGGTAGCTGGCCTTCACGGCAGGCCCGTGGGTGTTATGATGTGCATCACTGCTAATGCACGGGGTTCCCCACCACCAACGGAGAAAAGCAATAAAGTATATTTGGCTGGCTGGAAGAGTTGCTGTCTTGTCTTTTATGAGCCACAGAGTCTCACTAATATAGCCCAGCCTGTCCTTGAACTTCCCATGTCCCCTGCCCCGACTTCCAGAATGCTGGAACCCTACCTAGTTACTGTCCCTCTTTTCTGGAACATTCTCAGAGGCTCGCCTGTTTCCTAAGACCTCTCAGGTTCTCCCCACTTCTGACTAACTTCAGTGCTTGCGGTATGATGCCAAGTGATCTGAAGTTTACCCAGGCAGGAATAATGAGAGAGAAAGAGAGAGAGAGAGAAAGAGAGAGAGAGATAGAGACAGAGGAAGTTTGACTTAGAGAACATGGCAGAGAGTGTGACTGCTGGGCCCTTCGTAGAGTTGTCAGTTCATAAAACGAGTAAGAGAGAAGCAGGCCATGAAAGGCAGCTGGGGTCTCAGGAGAGCACAGGGAAGGCGTAAGGGCAGGAGGGGTTTGGGGTTGGCTTCCACCAGCTGTCAGGAAGAGCAGCTGAGCCGGGCTGGGGAAGTGGAGAGAGCCACCATCCCTGCCCTCTCTCACAGCCGGAGGCAGGCTGTGGTTAAGCCGCAGGATGTGGGCTGTGCTGGGAGTGAAGGTAGAGCAGCAGCCAGGGGCGGTGAACGGGGTGGGAGAGCTCTGTTCTATGTCTCCCACAGCACCCATTTAGCCTGCAGGGCAAGAGGGGTGGTGGTCAGAGCACCAGGGAGCTGTCCTAGGCTAGCCCAAACCAGCAAGCTAAGCTGGCTTCTCTCCCCACCGGCACGGGGGCTGTTGATGTATATGACAAGGCCTGAAAAGAGCGGCTGTGATGAGCAGGGCTCAGCAGCTACTATTTGTTGGTCCTTGGTGAGGGACTGCTTCTTTCCCTCCCTCTGAGCACCAACACTTATCCTCAGAAGTCTTGGTGATGTTTTCCATCAGGAGCCACTGCTCAGGGATGGTCCAGGGATGGCAGATTTGGTCCCAGGTATTCTTGATAGTTTCCTGCCTGGGGGAGACAGAGCTCTGTCGAACAAAAGCAATAATCACTGATGTTTACTAAGCATCTATTACACTGTAACGTTTGGAGTTAGTCCCTTTCTGTGTTCTTATCTCACTTAATCCTTGCAGTGACTTCACACAATAGATGCTGTCATCGTCATCTTACACACAAAGATTGTGAGGCCCAGGAAAGCTTAAGTCATTTGCCCAAGTGACAGTAAGGGGTGGCAGGGCTGGAACAGAGAGCGAGGGCTGCCCGATTCCAATGCTGTCAGCCTCTACCCACCACTGAGATGGAGAGGAATGCTCTCCATCCTAGCAGTGTCCTTGGAAAGACAGATAGAGGGGATGGGAGTGGAGGTGAAATCAGTGCGGGTTTCCTGGGACAGAGGCAGAGTAATACAGGACTGAGGCAGATGCGGAAGTGAGGAGAAAAGCAAGAGCTGGGGCTGATTCTGGGGATTCAGAAGCTAGAAGGGGCGGATGAAAGGACCAAAGCACTGCAGTATAGGATGCAGGGTCTAGATGGAGAGGAGGAATGCAGAAGAGAGGAAAGATTAACCGGAGAGAGGAGAAAAATCAATTTCTACCATTGACCCAATGGAGTAATAACAATTGAATTCACTCTTCTGCCTTCTAAAAGATGAGACAGGACAGGTTTAAACAATCTTGAAGACACTGGGCAACAGTGGGCAGTGATCCCAGAGAGATGGGAAACAACTAAGTTGAACTCTTGGATGATCCCAGTTTATAATCAAGAAAGGGTGCAGCAAGAGAGAACCCAGGCATCATCTACCGATCTCTGAGAGGCAAGCAGGCAGAGATGGGAGGCCCCGGCACCTAGAGTCTGTAGGAGAGAGATGCACAGTGAGGGCTCCACAGAGCTGGAGAGCCTTCCTCCCAAGTCTTCGCCTAGGTAGTGATCGCACACAAAGAAGAGGAAACTGCAAGATGACAGAGAAAGAGTCCCTTGAAAGGATGAGAAGGGAAGAATCTTTGGCTATCAGGCAGGGCTGGAAGTCATTTTTCCCAATCTCACCAGTCAAGGGGCACTGAGCAGAGCTGCGCGCCGGCGTGGGGGGCAGGGCCAGCCATGTCTCTGCAGCTTGTTACATGAGGGCACTCACGAATCCCATTCACGATGGCTGCAGGTGAGATTTACAATTTCCCCCAAATTTCACATTAGCTTGGCAAAATCTATGTCCAAGAAGTGAAACAAATACATATACACTGAACATTCCTCCATAGTCAAAGGACAGCTTCTTAACTTGTCATCAAAACCCATCCACCAGAAAACTGCCCCCCTTTCCTTCAGGATCACCTTTGGTGGGGCAATTTGGAGAGACTACAGAGGACTAGAGAGGAAAGAGGAGCTGGCAGGAGGTGGCCACCAGAGCAGCCCCAGAATCTTAACAAAAATGCTTAGTCAAGCCAGGAACATTATGCCAAGATTCTTAGCTTCCTGGGAGACAGAAATTGAGAGGATCAAGATGTAAGGCCAGCTTAGGCAAAAAGTTCTGGAGATACACATCTCAACCAATCAAAAGCTGGATTACAGTAGTGCATGCATGTGGTTGCTTGTTTTCTTTTCTTTTCTTCTTCTTCTTCTTTTTTTTTTTTTTGGTCAGATCATGGGGCCTGAACTCTGGGCCTGGGTGCTGTCCCTCAGCTCTTCAGCTCAAGGATAGCACTCTACCACTTGAGCCACAGTGCCACTTCCGGCTTTTTTCTTTTCGCTTATGTGGTGCTAAGGAATCAAACCCAGGGCCTCATGCATGCAAGGCAAGTGCTCTACCACTGAGCTACCTTCCCAGCCCTGGTTGCTTGTTTTCTAGAGAACCTTAGCATCAAAACCAGACAAAGACAAACTTCAGACCAAAATCTCTTACATATCCCAGGTACAGTGAGTTATATAAATAGGAAGATCAAGCTGGGCACCAGTGCCTCATGCCTGAATCCTAGCTACTCAGGAGGCTGAGATCTGAGGATTGCAGTTCAAAGCCAGCCCCGGCAGGATTGGTTTTGATAAACCAATCAAAAACCAGAAGTGGCGCTGTGGCAGAAGTGGTAGAGCGCTCACCTTGAGCTGAAGAGCACAGGGACAGAGCCCAAGCCCAGAGTTCAAACCCCATGACCGACCTAAATAAATAAATAGGAAGATCATGGTCCAAGCCAAAAGCAAAACCCTATGTCAAAATAAAAAACCAAGCACAGCGGCTTAAGCTTGTAATCCTAGCTAATTAAGAGATGGAGATGGGGGTTGTCAGTCACAGCAGCACAGATAAGCACATGTAGTTTCAGTTCAGACTAGACCAATCATAAAGTGAGACCCCCCCCCACACCTCAAAATTAACCAACACCAAAAAGGTCTGGAGACATGGCTCAAGTGACAGTATATACTTAACAAGTGTGAGGTGATAAATTCAACCTCTCGTACCATAAATAAATAATCTTACAAAAGATGTTTATGGTTATTTTAAAAAGTCAGGAGTCCAGCGCTAGTGGTCCATGCCTATAATCCAAGCTACTCAAGAGGAAGAGATTGAGGATCATGGTTCAAAGCCAGCTCCAGCAGGAAAGTCTATGAGACTCATTGCCAATTAACCACCAGAAAACTGGAAGTAGCTCCAAAGCTCAAGTGGTAGAGCGCTACCCTGATTCTCCTAAAGAGAACTACTGGCCTTTCACGAATTCACTGATTGACTTTGACGTCTATTGACATTTCCCAAGCCCTTACCCAGTCAACGCCAGCTTGGAGACATAATGTGTTTTAAATAGTGAAATTTAATTTAATTCTGATCCTGGTTTATTATGAAGAAGGCAAGGGCAGGGTGGGAACACATCCTAGGGAAAGAAGATAAATGGAATCTTTTATACAGGAGAAAGAGGGACAAAAGGGCCCGAGGCTGAGACCTGCTCACAGCCTGTGGTAACTGCTCTACGGAGTCAGAAAGCTGAGGTGAGCCTGTCATACCCACTCTGTGAGTCTTGGAGAGAACTGAGTCTCAGAGCTCCTAGAGGTGTCGGCCGCTGCCGCCCATGATGTCATGGAAACTGCTTTGTGGCTGGCTTCTAACCATGGCAGCCCGCCCTCAGAGGTAGGGAGGCAGCAAAACCATGGAAGGGGGCTGGGAAGTTGGCTCAGTGGTAGAGCGCTTGCCTTGCATGCCAGAGGCCCTGGGTTCGATTCCTCAGCACCACATAAGCAAAAATAAAAAATAAAAAAAAAAAACAACAACAAAAAAAAACATGGAAGAGTTGTTATTATAGGGACTGGAGTTGACAAGTAGCAGAGCAAGGGTGGTGGGAAGATGTCTCACCCAGGAAGCCCACTGGGCTACAAACACCAGTAGGCCAGGGTGGATGGGAGACCGCTTCTCACCCGGTCCACACAGGGCAGGGGAATGAAGGGGGTGAAGGAAGAACACAGGCGGGAAGAAAAGGCAGGGTCCTCCATGTCAACACAGTTCCCATCCCTCCCCGTAACCCTGGAAAGTGCAGGCATCTACTGACTGGAGCGAAAAAAAAGTCTTTATTGGTTGATCTCAGAGGGAAGGCACAGTTGACAATGACGCTTCCAGACACCACCAGGTCCACAGTCACTTTTTCCGGGGCCAGTTTCCTCCAAGATGGCTGTACTGAGCGTCATCGCGGCCTCGGAGGGGCTGCAAGGCGAGGAGGGGGACGGTGAGGCTGGGCCGAGCTCTCGTCAGCCAAGCCCATAGCTGAGAGGTTGTACCTGACATGCGCAGACGCCCAGGGATGCCCCTCCATCCATGGGCATAACGCCCACCATCAGCCTCTTCATCCCTGCTCATCCCCCCTCCTAGTTCTGGCCTCCTTCCCTTCGGGGCTCACCTGGTACAAATGGTCATTCCTCAACAGAGCTTGAGTGTCAGCAGCTGGAAGAACTGGGGAGACAGAGTAAGGAGCCAGGTGGATGGGCCTTGAAGACCCATGAACACACCTGGCCATGGCCCCAGAAGTCTGCATAGCTTAGACAGTACACAAATTCTTGTTCACACCTCATAATAGGACCTGAGGACATTGTAAGAGGACTCCTCATCACCATCCCCATTCTTCGGTTGGAGCATAGTACACACACACACACACACACACACACAGCCCTTCCACTCACCCCCAGAGACCCTTCCAGTCTCATGTCCTGAAAAGCAGTAGACTCCCAAAGCAAGAAGCAGCGTGGCAATGATGTCGGTGATGATGATGCCGGCCACGGTGGCCGAGTCCACCTCCACACAGCTCTGACACACTGTGGAGGGAAGGGGAGAGGGCACATGAGAGCTTTGAAGATGGGGAACCATCTCTGCCTCCTGGGGAGGGCCTTGTCGTCTCTCAAGTCAAGATTCAAACTTCAGGCAGAGCTTGATGGTCTTGTGTTTCCCACCTGGGTCCCTTTATCCCAAAGAACCCCTGAAGTGATCCTAAACTAAGCAGTGGCCCAAATCTCTCTCTCTCTCCCTACCAAGTCCTAAGTGACAAGGCTCCTCCAGCTCTGCCTTGCTTAGTGAGGCCCTCCTAAGCCCTCCACCCCCAAATCTAGCTTGGATCATTGCAAGAGTGACCCCAGTTTGTTTAAAGGATGAATTGATTCACCATAGGCTCCTTCTAGCCAGATTGTTCTTCCACCCAGAGGCTCACCCACTCCACCCCAGTAAGCCAGGAGACACGTACTTCGGTAATATATTTGCACAGTAGAGACTTCCTGGGCCTGGTTATCTATCCCATTACACTTATACACTCCTCTTGGATCCAAGACACGTTTGCCCAAGTCCAGGGTTTTATTGCTTGATAATGGTGCTCCCACTGTTCCCTTTAGCCTCACGATGCTGGTATTGCACCTCAAAAATACTTTGTCCTCAAGTTCCTCCACAGGTATCTTAAAGGGGCTCACTAAGAAGAAAAGAAAATAACAACAACAAGAAAACAACCACAATCTGAGACAGCTCTTTGGTCTGTCCTAGACCCCTGACTCTGCTGAAGATCACCCTGAAGGATCATTTAATAGTCTATAGTCATTTTGATTTCCAGTAAGAAATGAAGGTAGGACCCAAGTCCTCGCTGGAATAGGTCAGAGTCAAGTGCCTGGTTTGGACATCCCAGACCTGCCCTCCTAGTCCATGGAGTGCCTTGGAAGCTGAAGATAGCGTTAGGCAGTCCCTTGCATGGAGCCCTTTCCTCCACCCACCTGGAGAAGCCTTACTAACCTTGAGGGAGGAAGGCAGCCAGGATCAGGCCAGCCAAGATCTTCCAACGTTCCATCTTCCAATGGAATTCATCCAGCAAACAGTGCCGGATCACAGAACCACCAGCCAGGGTGAGAGCCCTCCCCTCCTCCGCCAAGTGACTCATGGGTATGCAAAAAAAAAAGGAAGAAGAGGGGAGGAGGTCAAATATGTCCGCATCTCTGCTTCTCTGCCTTTGATGCTGGGGGGCTGTTGAAACCAAAGAAGGCTAGAGGCAGAGTCGAAAGGAAGCAGGTGCAAATTTCTCTTTCTAGATCACCAAGTTTGGGGATGGGGCAGAAGCTAGCACAGAGCATAGAGAGAAGGCTGTCTGGACTTTTAGAAGTAAAGGAAATTCAGAATGGCCTTCCCTGAGTCACCGATGAAAAACAAGAACTTCGGAGTCCCTGTTGATCACACAACTACATTGACTTATCACCTACCAAATGCCCCTAGACAAGAACTAGACAACCAGTCATACAAGGCACATGGGGGAGACTCCACCTGCTCCTGGCCTCACTCAGGACCCTTCAGAGGGTAGCTTGGGACACCAGACCAAGTGGCTTCCAGGAAGCAAGTTGTACTCCAGAGCCCTCCCAACCCCCATTTCCAGGGAGAAATTCGAGTCCTGGTTCTGATATTTAATACCCAATGGCCAACCATGGAATTTTTCAGAGTTTCATTCCATCGGTGTCATCAAAGATTTTTTTAAAGCATTTGCCGATCAAAACACATATACTCACAAATTGATCTGTCAAATAGTAACCCCTTTGTATAACTACTTGCAGATAGTAAATATATACATTTATTTATTAAAAAGCAGTTGCGACATCCATCATGCCCACTATCAGGTACTTATTAATAATGATATAATTAACTCACCGGCAGAATTGGGCCTACCAGGGCCTCACCCATGGCCTATGGAGATCTAAAACTCTCCACATGGCCACAGTCGGACTGTCCGGCTGAGGACAGAGCCTCGTCTGTCTCGCTCATTACTCTATTTTGGGCCAGGGAGATCATGAGAGCTCTGTGAATTTTTGTTGATTCACAAGTGACTGGGAGGAGGAGTCGGGGAGCCTGGAAACACAATTCAGACCCCGGCCCTGGAAAAGTGCAGGCTGGCCTGCTGCCTCACCCATCCCTGCTGGGTAGAGACCACTTTGATAACTTCAAAAAGAATGGTGACCAAAATTCCTGAATGAAGCCTCAGACTAAGATGCTCCTCCATTCAGAACTCCAGCTCCAAGCACCCTAAAGTTGGGAGTAAATGGATTCGTTCTAGCACCAAAGGACAACTTGAAACCGGACATTCATCTCATTTGTAGAGAAAGGGGCTCAGGATTACCCCCCAATCCAGCATGTGAAACGCCTCTCAGGGGGAACTGAGTCTTTGGGTGGGAAGCCAGCTCCGTCTTCCTCTCACTCCCCACCACCAGTACCCTCAACTCCCTAACGGAAAAGCAAAGGATGCGTGCACCTGCAGCCTTGCTGAGGCCACGGCTGCCCACACTGGAAGCTGAGGGTGGAGGTGCCGGGTTCTTGCCTTCTGCAGAAAAGAGCTGGGCGGAGCTAGGCTAGCTGCTACACCGGCTGGCTGGCAACTAAGAGCTGCTTCACACTTCTGCCGGGGAAGGACAGAGACGGAGACTGCCATGGAGCAGGGGAAGTGTCTGCCTGGCCTTGTCCTGGCTCTCATTCTTCTTCAAGGTAAGAGCCAGACAGGGGTTCTGGCAGGGGGAGGAAAGGCTCATGGGAAGAGGCCATTGCCAGGGAGACAGAGATAGTAAGCCAACCTTCATCTGTCACATTCGAATTCAAAGAAGGAAAGGCAAAAAGTGAACCCTCTTAATATTCCTGGTTAGAAAAGGAAAGCATGTTGACAGGGACAAAACACAGGAGGCAACCAGTTAGAATCTGCTGCTGCTGATGTCGCCGCCATCTTAGATTAAAAAAAAAAAATCCAGGCAAAGAAACGGAAAGACTGCATTCTCTTATTTAGAGCTGGGACTAGAGTGTTCCCATGAAAACTCACTCAAGTAATTGTTCAGTTGTTCCAATGGTCAGCAAGTGTGCATGAGATCCTAATATGAAAGAGTCCAGAAGGAAAAGGAAAAATGAAGAGAAAGCTTCTGTTCTAAGAGATGGGTTCTAATGGTGCCATATTGAGTGTAAGGTAGAGCACAGGCGCCTGTTTGAAATATCCAACAGGAAGCAAATGAACGAGCTTGAGACCTGAAGACTAGACACAGTACGAGAAGCCAAAAATCATGGAAAATTTCTTGAAATCACAAGAGTACTATGCGATGTGTGATGAAGAGGGGCTGAGGGTGGAACTGTGAGGCCTGCTTTTGAGGGGTTTAATCTCCAAATAAATGACCAAAGAATCAAATGAATGCAACATGCTGGAAAGCAAGGAAGTAGAGAACGTCTAGAGGAGGAGAATCTCCAAGGCTAGAGTCCACAGGCATAAGAATATATTGAAATCTCCTAGCTACTTAGGAGGCTGAGAGCTGAGGATCGCGGTTCAAAGCCAGCCCAGGCAGGAAAGTCCGTAAGACTCTCATCTCCATGAACCTCCTGAAAACCAGAAGTGGCACTGTGGCTCAAGTGGTAGAGTGCTACCAAAAAAAAAAAAAAAACATATTGAAATCTTAAGTTGGTTGAATTTGGCAAAATAAAGGTCACAGTGATTTACAGCAGTAAGGAGGAAGCCAAATGGATGGGCAGGTGGTGAAGTGGAACAAGAGTAGACTACTGTTGAAAGAAGTTTGGAGAAGATAGACAAGAAGGAGTGGTAAGGAAAAGGTGGAAGTGGAGTTTAAAAAGAAATAGTGTTGAGGATGAGAGACACTTGAGCACCGTTTTGGCTAAAGGAGAAGATGGCGAGCAGAGGTAGGTGTAGAGCTGCTTTTTGGAAGCAACTTGGAAGCTTTTTGAAACTAACAGGAAAGGGAGTAGAGGTGGTTTTGGCCACAGGGAGGCTTGTAAACAGAAAGGGAACTGAAGATGCCATCACAGCAACTGTGTACTCCAAAAACCAGGTGGGTCGCTATGACACCTGCTGAGGCAGCTGGGTGATGGCAGAGTGGGAGACTTGAAGAAGACTGTCAGGGTGGAGTTATTTCCCAGAGGAGAAAGAACTGGCTAAAAGCAACCCATAGTGGAGGGCAGTGTGAGAGTCCTGGATGCAATGTAAACAGGCTGAGTTGAACAATAGAAAACCCACGCTCCAGATCCAGCTGTCAGTAATCAACCAATGCCTCTGCCTGCTGAGCTCAGTTCTCACTGCAGCTATTTGACTTCATTAATCACAAAGGGACTCCCACCACTCATTAAAATCTGTGTGTGTGTGTGTGTGTGTGTGTGTGTGTGTGTGTGTGTGTGTGTGTGTGTGTGTGTGTGTGTGTGTGTGTCCCTGAGCTTTTTTGCCCAATGCTGGTGATTTATCACTTCAGCCACAGTTCTACTTCCAGCTTTTGGGTGGTTCATTGAAGATGAACTTGGGCTGGCTTTGAACCTCAATCCTCAGATCTCAGCCTTCGGATTAGCTAGGATTACAGTTATGAGCCACCAGTGCCCAGCTCCACTCATGAAATTCTAAGGGTAAAAATCCCATCCAGGAAGTCCAGGACAAAAATCAAATGAATTCTTTATTATCACCCTAAAGTCAATTTGGTGATTTAAGCTACATCCAGGAAACCAGATATACAGATATTCTCATTCTAGTGGGTTTGGAACCCGCTAGATCTGGATCTCAAGTAACCACGAGAATTTCTCCAGGCATAGGAACAATTCCATACCCAGCTGATCCTCCACCTATTCTGTCTCCACAGGTTCCGTGGCCCAGTCAGAACAAGGTAGGAGAAATGGCTTCTTCCTATTCTCGTACTCAGAGGGAATCCATGAAAACATGGCTTCCTACCGCAGTAGTTGCACGGAGGGAACAGTCTGGAAAAGCTGAGATGGCAGGAGTCAGACTGCTGTTATCTCCATCACCAACCAAACCAGTGCTTTTCTGACTTACTCTGGGCAGCTCTCTGCAGCTAAGCAATTAACTGTCTTGTCCTTGCAGTAGAAACCCTAGGAATGAGGCGGGTCTGGAGGTGTGATGGCTAATGAGGAGCATTGGGAGCATGTGTCAGTCATACCAACTCTTTTTTTTTTTTGTGGCTGTGGGGTCTGTACTCTGGGCCTGGGCGCTGTCCCTCAGTTCTCAGCTCAATGCTAGTGCCCTACCACTTGAGCCACCCTGCCACCTCCGGCTTTTTTCTGCTTATGTGGTGCTGAGGAATTGAACCCAGGGCCTCATGCATGCAAGGCAAGCGCTCTACCACTGAGCCACCTTCCCAGCCCCAGTCACACCAACTCTTGCTTCCCCTGAACTACTTAAATTCTAGCATGATGTTAGAATGTGATTTGTGTGCACATTAAAGTCGGAGAAACACCAGACTCAGGTTACCTTGAGGTGGGGAGAATTTCAGAGATGAGATCCTTAATGAATGGGCTCTGGTGAGCCACCTGCTTATGCCTGTAATCCGAATCAGGAGGGTGAGGTCAGAGGATCATGGTTCCAAGCTAGACCTGTGAGACTCTTTTTTGTTGTGGTGGTGGTGGTGGGCTTGAACTCTGGGCCTGAGCACTGTCCCTCAGCTCTTCAGCTCAAGGTGAGCACTCTACCACTGGAGCCACAGCGCCACTTCCAGTCTTCTGAGTGGTTTATTGGAGATACTAGTCTCACAGACTTCCTTGCCTGGACTGGTTTTGAACCATGATCCTCAGATCTCAGCCTCCTGAGTAGCTAGGATTACAGGCGTGAGCCACAGGCACCCAGCTCCTGTGAGACACTTATCTCCAATTCACCTGCAAAAAGCCAGAGGCCATTTGAATACACAGAGGTGTGGTTCAAGTGGTAGAGCACCAGCCTTGAATGAAAAAGCCAGGCAGGGGTGTAAGCCCTTGAGTTAAAACCTCAGTATCAGTGTGTGTGCGCGCGCACACACACACACACAACCTTTAATGAAACCACTTATTTTCCTTTTTCAGAAAACAATTTGATAAGAGTGGATGACCTTCGAGAAGATGGTTCAGTACTTCTCACTTGTGACTTGAAAGACAAAAATATCCAATGGTTCAAAGATGGGAAGATAATAAGTAACTCCAGTAAAAGAACATGGAATCTGGGGAGTGTTATCAATGATCCTCGAGGAATTTATTACTGTCAAAGCCCAAAGAACAGGTCAAAGCCATTGCACATATACTATCGAAGTATGTGATCCTTTGGTTGGTTGTTTGTTGTGAAATTAAGCAAACTTACTATTCAACTTACTATTCTGGTGTATTTATTGTCTAGGATGAAGGGAGGAATTGATGCTAAGAAATGATGTAGAGTAGTAGCCAATTCTCTCTCTCTCTCTTTTCTCTCTCTCTCTCCTCTTCCTTCCCCCCCCCTCTCTCAGTTTACCCATTTTAAAATATGAGACAGTTCTTTCAACTGCTGGGAAAAGTGTAACTAGTCCTGTAGAACATGGTTGACTTTTGGTTGGGCCCCATGGATTGGAGCAACTCAGAAATTTCTGTGAACTGCACTGGGACATTGGGGAGATGAACAGCAGTGGAAAGAGAGCTGGCGGTTGAGAGAGATGAGCAGGATCTGGTCCTTCAATTCCACACAGTGTATGTTATCGGCTGACATAGACTTCCCCAAGACTCATCTAGGAGGAGCACCAGGAAACATGTAGTCTTTGGAGCAGGGATTCTCCCTTGGAGAGAAGTATTGCTGCTAGAAGATGCCCAGAAAGAGTCGGGCACCAATGGGCACCATATCTATAATCCAAGCTATTCAGGAGGCTGAGAGATCTGAGGATTGAAGTTCAAAGTCAGCGGGGATAGACAAATACAAAAGATTCATATCTCCAAATAAGTAGGCGGGGGGTGGGGAGGAACCCTGCAAGTGGGAGTGTGGCTCCAATGGTAGAGTGCCAGCTCTAAGCAGAGAAAGCTAAGCAAGAGAGTGAAGTCTTGAGTTCAAGCCCCAGTACCAGCATACACACACACACACACACACACACACACACACACACACACACACACACACACAAAATTCAGGATAAGAACTTTTAAGCCCCAAAGAAGCCTTGTCCTTCAGTGTGTCTTGTTTTTTACAGTGTGCCAGAACTGCATCGAGGTAAATGCCACCACCATCTCTGGCTTTATCTTTGCTGAAATCACCAGCATTTTCTTCCTTGCTGTTGGAGTCTACTTTATTGCTGGACAGGATGGAGTTCGTCAATCACGAGGTAAAAGAGGGCTAGTGTGGTAGTGCACATCTGTAATTGCGGATGCTCAAGAGGCTGGCACAGAGGACTTTTGAACCCGAGGCCGGCCTGGACAACTTATAAAACCCAGTTTTAAAAATAAAATTTGGGCTGGGAATGTAGCTCAGTAATAGAGTGCTTGCCTAGTATGCATGAAACCCTGGGTTCTATTCCCTCAGTACCATATAAACAGAAAGAGCCAGAAGTGGTGCTGCGGCTCAAGTGGTAGAGTGCTAGCCTTGAGCAAAAGAAGCTCAGGGACAGCGCCCACGTTTGGAGTTCTGAGTTCAAGCCCCAGGACTATCAAAATATAAAATAAAATTTAAAATTTAAAAGAGTTAGGATGAAGTCTTGAATAGTAGTGACCCTGGGTTCATCCCTCCTGCAAAAAAAAAAAAAAAGCAGGGTAGAGGAATATGCTTCACTGAGAGATGGGTCCACCTTAGATGCTCTGCTTCCTATCAAAATAGACCCAAAGAGACAGAATGAGTTGGCATGTATTATCAACATGCAGAGTTGTCTGTCTCTGTCTTTGCAAAACAGGAAAGATACTCCGTGTTACCAGAATATTTACCTGCCTCAAGATCTAACACGGTGTGATTTATCACCTATCTTTACAAACGTCCTCACCCTCTTTCACTCAACAGTATGCTTCTAAGAATAACCCAGTGTTGTGTGGAGATGATTTGTATACATTTAGATTCTATTGTGTCACTATAACTCAACCTATTATCCATTCTATCCTGCATATGTATATTTTGTCCTTTTTTGCAGCTTCAGACAAGCAGACTTTATTGCCAAACGACCAGCTCTACCAGGTAAGGAATAAGGAATGAAAAATAGATAATTACAATTAGTGAGGCTGGACCTCTGGGATTAAGAAGGTACTTGGAAGATAGTGTGCACATAAAGAACTGTTTACAACACATCACAGGATTGGATAGTTGTCCCTTCGGGCAAAATGGGAGAGATAAAGAAAAAGAAACTAAGAGGGTCTAATAAGAAGATGTAGAATGAACATCGGGGCTGGGAAGGTGGCTCAGTGGTAGAGAGCTCCCCTTGCATGCATGAGGCCCTGGGTTCCATTCTTCAGCACCACATAAGCAGAAAAAGCTGAAGTAGTGCTGTGGCTCAAGTGGTAGAGTGCTAGCCTTGAGTTGAAATGCTGAGGGACAGCGCCTGGGCCCAGAGCTCAGGCCCCATGACAGGCCAAAAAAAAAAGAAAAGATGTTGAACACTGACTATATGGAGCCTCCTTCTTTTGACCCTTAAGACCTTATAGCACCCATTCCAAGGAGTTGAATATAAAAAGCATTCAATAAATATAGATCAAGTTAATTAACAGAGGATGGAAAAAATGAGTTCATGACCATGCTGTCCTCCTCAGCCCCTCAAGGATCGGGAAGAAGACCAATATAGCCACCTTCAAGGAAACCAACTGAAAAAGAAGTGAGCTAAGGACTCAGAATAGGTGGGTTCTTCTACAACAGTCTCAGAATCCTTGTGTTTCCTGCCTCCTCCACCCAACTACTACAAAGTCGTTTCTTCCTTTCCCAAGAAGCTACAAGGACTAGCCCGTTTATGTGTTTGGGTGTGTGTGTGAGAGAGACAGAGACAGAGAATGAAACAGAGGATGATGATGATGATTGACTGATGTCTCTTTACTCCAACGACCAGAACCAAAACTGATTGCTTACCCTAAGAAAATATGGACACTATGTATCTGTAAATGTTAGGACTTCAAGCCATAGAAACATTAAATACTAATCTTATTAGAGTTTCTCAGAATCTATGACATTAACACTTTGAGCTAGTGAATTCTTTGTGATTAGGGCTCTCCTGTGCATAGTAGAAGTTACAGCAGCATCCTTGACCTCTGTCCATCAATATCAGTAATATCCCTCTTGTAACAAGCAAAAATGTGTCCAGACATTTTACCATGTCCCCTCCAGAGCAAATACCCTTAGTTAAGAACCACTGGCCCATATTAATTAACCTTTCAACCAATCAGAAATTGACTTGACCATTGTATCAGAAACTTCAATCAGGATAAGTCTGAAAACATTTTTTTTTCTGACTAATCTATTTTTTTTTTGTATTGTTTTCTTTATTTCAGGTGTTGTCCCTTCTCTCCAGTTCTCAGCAACATATTTTGGAAGAGCTTCCAGCAGAAAGATTTTCAGACCGGTATCTATACTTAAATATCACAGAGATGACAAATCTCAAATATCAGAGCAGATTTGGATTTTTGTCAAAATAAAATGAAAGCTACAGCTTAATGGGTTTGCTCAGTAGTAGAGAAGTTGCAGCCCTGTATGAAGTTATAAGGTGTTCAAGTTCAAGAGCGCCACCCATTGGTACGAAGTGGTAAAAAGAAAATTTAAAAGATCAAATGTCTCTTACTTTTAATTTTCATTGAGTTTTGGTGGGTCATAATTCTCATGGTTCAAATATTCAGAATAAGGGCTCCCTCGATATCTATCCACAGGCATCCAATTGTCTCTTTTAATATATATACCACACCAAGTTGTAGTTGTTTATATGTTGATAAAAGACATGCAAGCATTTTCTCTCGCATTTCCAATTCTTTTCCTGAAAAGTATGCTGCTTCCATTACTTCCATGTATCTCAATACAAACTTGTAAGGCGCGTACTACTGACACAATACAGATCAGAAAACTAAAATCCAGTCCAAAATATCACTCTGGCAGTAAGACCTGCACCAAACTTGAAGTTGTTACTACTGATGGGGGTACTGTTTCATAGATCGTCATACATCTGCGAGAAGTAATAGAAATAGGTCCAAAAGAACATAGCACAGCCAGGCGCCGGTGGCTCAAGCCTGCAATCCTGAACGCTAATTATTCAGGAAATGACATGGGAGGATCTCGGTTCGAAGCCAGCCTGGGCAGGAAAGTCCATAAGATTCTTCTCTCCAATGAAGCACCAGAAAACCGGAAGTGGCGTCGTGGCTCAAGTGGTAGAGCGCCAGATCAGGGACAGCGCCCCAGCCCTGATGTCAAGCACCATGGTTAGCACCAAAAAAAACCCCCAAAAAACAAAAAGTACAGGGCAAGGGAGAAAATTAGAAAGCACTCCAGAGCAAGTGAACAAAGCTGGCGATCACAGAATCACATCTGGACTCGATACTCGGGGATCCAAATCCCACAAGGCCCACTTCGGGAACCACCAAAACACAGCCAGCAAGCTCAGCCCGCCCCCTAGCCCAATAGCAAGCCTACTTCCGTCCACTTCCGGCCCGCCCCCCAGCAGGCGCGTGCGCGGTGTCCCTGTTTTGCGCGCCCCGAGCGCCCCCGGAAGGCCGATACAGCCCACTTCCGGCTCGGAAGAGCGCTTCTGCTCGTCCTGACGCCGGGTGATGACGTCAGTTCCGGCTGTCGCTCTAAGTCGGAAGTGGGAACCCTTTGGCCCCTGAGACTGTGAGGTGTCGTCGCTGCCGGCCCTTTAGGCCCCGGTAAGAAAGGACGTAGTTTGAGGGGAGGGGGTCAGGGAGTCTGCAGTGGGAATTTTTCTTCTGGGCGAATGCCGGTCCTCGGCCCCTCCAGATCCTTCTGTGCTTTCCTGACCCGGGACCCTCACCATGAACTTCGACCCCGTCCGCCTTGGAATCCCGAACTGTGCCCCAGCGGCTGGTGGCTCTCTGCACACGGCTCTCCCCCTCTTTGCAATGCTCCTGTCTTCGCGCTGTCTTTTGACTTCCCTTCCCTACAACGTGCACCAGGCGGGTGGTCTCCCTCCTTCCTTCCCGCGAATCCCTTATGGAACCCGAAGGAATAAAATAGATTAAGTAGACGACAGAACGCCGTGCCAAGGAGATAAAATTAAGCGCCAGTCGAAGTAATCAAACCAGTTGAGCGCATATGGCAGGATGTTGACATTTCTGAAGACACTCGTAACTCCTGACACTGCTTCGTGTTTCCTTGGATATACTAGGATCACAGCTCAGGAAGAGTTTATATTTAATGGGTGTTCCTTTGGAGTTTTGTTTGTTTGCTCCCAGTGCAAGAATGCATTTAGTCTTGCTGTCACTGACAGGGATCCACAGGGGTGGCCATCTGAGGTGAAATGCAACTCAAGAAATAATGCTGTCTGTTTTTTCACTTGATGAGATCATTCTAATTTGCAGATAGATATGTTCAAAGTATTTGTTGCTAGATTACTGTGATCTGAATGTATTATTGATTGGAACATATTACATATGTAGAAGCATTTTAAAATCCTTTTTTTTGGGGGGGGGCTGTCAGTCGTGGGCCCTGTACTCTGGGCCTGGGCGCTGTCCCTCAGTTCTTCAGCTCGAGGCTAGCACTCTACTACTTGAGCCACAGCGCTACTTCCAACTTTTTCTGCTTATATCGTGTTGAGGAATCAAACCCAGGGCTTCATGTATGCAAGGCAAGCACTCTACCGCTGATATACCTTCCCAGCCTTTTAATTCCTATTTTAATCTGATTTATGTGTTTCCAAAATAGAAACTTTACAGAATATGATTTAATAGAACTTGATGTTTTTTCCCCTTGGGCTGAGGTCAAACCCAGGGTCACATGCACACCTGGCAAATGCTTTACCACTGAGCTACACCTCCCAGTCCATAATATTTTAGTTTAGAAATCCAGTTTTACCAAGTGCTTTAAGTATTTCAGTTTAAAAGTTGTCAGGTCTGATGTTAAAAATGTTTGTGTGTTAGGCTAGGCACTGGTGGCTCACTCCTGTAATCCTAGCTACTCAGGAGGCTGAAATCTGAGGATTGTGGTTCAAAACCTACCCAGACAGGAAAGACTGTGAGGCGTGTGTGTGTGTGTGTGTGTGTGTGTGTGTGTGTGTGTGTTGAGAGAGAGAGAGAGAGAGAGAGTCATGGGGCTTGAACTCAGGGCCTGGGTGCTGTCCCTGACTCTCTTGCTCAAGGCTAGTGCTGGCCACTTCCAGTTTTTGAGTGGTTAATCGGAGCTAACAGTCTCTTGGGGACTTTTCTGCCCAGGCTTACTTGGAACCATGGTCCTCAGATCTCAGCCCCCAAGTAGCTAGAATTACAGGCATGAGCCACCAGTGCCCAGCTTGTGAGACTCTGATCTCCAACAAACTACTCAGAAAAAGCCAGGAGTGGCACTGTGGCTCAAGTGGTAGAGCACTAGCCTTGAGCAAAAGCAGCTCAGGGACAGGCCCTTAGTACAGCCACAGGACTAGCACAAAAAAGTAAATCAAATATTTGTGTGCTCACAAAGGCTGACAGTGACCCTTAAAGGATTGACAGTACTGGTCAAGATGAAAAGGTTGAATTAAACAAGGGTGAGCTCATTGTGCAGGACCAGAGGTAGATAACTCTGATAGATGCAGAACCTTGCAGTGGGTATGCAGAGTGAAATTTGGGGCACTGGAGGCATGGCTCAAGTGTTGGAGTGCCTGCCTAACAAGCACAAGGCCCTGAGCTTAAGCCAGTCCTCCCTCCCCCTCCCCCCCCAAGGGGGGGGGGAAGCTAAGTATTTCAAGGAAGACATATTTATAAACAATCAAATCCAAAAGTTTCTAGGATTGGTGGTTGTACCTTATCAAAGACTGACTATTGTCGCGCTAGTGACAATGCCTTAACCCTAGTTACTCTGTAGGTTCTCAAGAAGGTTTTGGCTCAAGATCAGCCTGAGCAGAAAAATTCAAGTATCAGGATGGGAGCTGTGGCTCAAGGAGTAAAGGGCCATTTTAGCAAGCACAAGGCCTTAAGTTCAAGCCCCAGTACTTGGGTTGGGGGAGGGGGTGTGTCAATGAACCTGAGATCCTCCTTCCTTCACATTCCAGTGCTAGAATTACAGTCATGAGCCACGTTGCCTCACTGAAAAGGAGAGATTTAAAGTAGGACATTATCAACTATTTTAAAAACCACAATAATAAGGATCTCCTTTTTTTTTTTTTTTTTTTGCCAGTCCTGAGACTTGAGCTCAGGGCCTGGACACTGTCTCTGAGCTTCCTTTGTCAAGGCTAGCACTCTACCACTTGAGCCACAGCGCCACTTCCATCTTTTTCTGCTTCTGTGGTACTGAGGAATTGAACCCAGGGCTTCATGCATACTAGGCAAGCACTCTACCACTAAGTCACATTCCCAGGCCAAACCTTTCTTATGGAGTACATCCACTCTAGGTACTCATATTTACATTTGTAAGTTCACTGAATACATCTAAACTGGCATCTCTATAAAGGTTTTCATCAAGTGATCAGTCCTCTTTTTTCCCATAGGTGGTTCTACAGTTTAGTCTTTTTCTATGAAAAGAATATCTGCGCCGGGCACTGGTGGCTCACATCTTTAATCCTAGCTACTTAGGAGGCTGAGATCTGAGGATCACAGTTCAAAGCCAGCCTAGGCAGGAAAGTCTGTGAGACTCTTATTTCCAATAAATCACTCAGAAAACCGGAAGTGGCGCTGTGGTTCAAGTAGTAGAGCGCTCACCTTGAGCTGAAGAGCTGAGGGACAGCACCCAGGCCCAGAGTTCTAGCCCCACGACCAACAAAACAAACAATATCTGCTTGCAGAATTTTGAGTAAATACAAAAAAGATTAGCTTTGTGAGATAGGCATGTGTTTCGTTACCTAAGAGGCATTGCACCTGCCTGATAAGATTGTATCTCAAGGCTGGAACAGCGGCTCAGTAATGGAGTGCTTGCCTTGTAAGCATGAGGCCCTGCGTTTGATTCCTCAATACCACATAAGCAGAAAAAGTTGGAAGTGGCACTGTGGCTCAAGTGTTAGAGTGCTAGCCTTGAGCTAAAGAGCTGAGGGACGGTGTCCAGGCCCAGAATTCAGATCCCATGACCGGCCCAAAAACAAAGATTGTATCTCAAGAAAAATAGTAAAACCCATACCTTGAAGTAGGATTGTGAGTAATACTGTTAATTATGAGGGGGTTTAGGAATGACCATGTATTAAGACTGAATCACTCAGTAAATATTTACTTAAGATTTTGCGATTATAAATTATAACGACAGATATAACAAAAAGAATAATCAGATATGAACTTGTACTCAAAGAGCTTACAATCTAGCAAGGCAGATCTACTCAGGGATATAAGATAGAACATTAAAAAATAAGTAGAAGAGAACCAGCTTTGAGCAAAAAAACTAAGAGACAGCATTCAGGCCCTACGTTCAAACTCCAGTATTAGCACCAAAAAAAAAAAAAAGACAGGAGGGAAGTACAATAACTACACTTTTTTATATTCTTCTAGACTTTGCAGTAACTTGGGATAGAAGAAGGGTGGTGGTCAGCTAACAGTCAAGCAATTCAGGTTGTCTCTACATAAATTAGAGGTGATGATTAAGCAGTGGTTATATGGGGGAAAGCCCTCAAGGATAGTTAATTCCAAACTAAACACATTATCTTCTTTTCTGCCATTAAGTTTGGTAACCAAGCCTAATAAAATAAAATCTACAGAGCAACATTTAATGGTTCAGTTCCTTGAAGTAATTAAACTCTAAACCATGTTGACAGAGGACTAGGCTTCTGCCTAAGTCACTACAGCTCATTAACTCTCTTAGCTCACTCAGGTGTAGAAAAATAACAGAGGAGCTGGGTGCCAGTGGTTCATGCCTGTAATCCTAGCTCCTTAGGAGGCTGAGGTCTGAGAGTCATGGTTCAAAATCAGCCTGGGCAGGAAAGTCCGTGAGACTCTTATCTCCAATAAACCACCAGGAAACCAGAAGTGGCGCTGTGGCTCAAGTGGTAGAGCGCTAGCCTTAAGCTGAAGAGCTGAGGCACAGCGCCCAGGCCCAGAGTTCAAGCCCCACAACAGACAAAAAACAAAAACAAAAAACAGGTTTTACTTTTCTTATATTCCTCTATACTTTTTTTTGGGGGGGGGGGCAGTATTTTTGGTGTTTTTGAGACAGGGTTTTGCTCTGTAGTCCCATGCTGGTTTCACACTTGTGATCTTCTGCCTCAGCCTCACAAGTGATGGGTTGTAGGCATGCACTCTGACGCCTGACTGTCCACCTCTGTCTAAGGTTCTCATCCTTAAAGCAGTCTGATGTCCATGTAAGTAGAGCGTTCATACCTTATGTCTCTTCCTGCCTTGTTCAGGGTTGGAGTTTTCTTCTATGGGCCTTAAACATTCAGGAAGACCTTCAGGGAACTCTGCTCCTGAAATTGGCTCCTAAGTGCACTTGGCCTTGAATGAGGGAATGTAATTAGAAGATGCAAATAAATTCAGGCTCAGTCAACTCCTCTAAATAGCTTTGATATGTATTTTTCTTTTTTCATGTTAATACACCTGACAATTGGAATTTATTTCTTGGGTATTATGAAGAAATAGATAAGCAGTGACATTTAGATAGACTCAAGTGAAGATTTTAGTTGATGAAGTAACAGTATTTTTGTTGAACTTTTTTGGTTGAAGAATTATCAGTAGTTTTAAGCCTATAAATAGAGTGCTTAATATATTTAAACAGCCCACAACATACAGTGCATAGCAAACCTTCTTCTGGTCTAAGAGGTTTCGTGTAGCTAAGGAAGGCCCAGCTTCAATCTACACTGAGCAGGGGCCACCTTGTTGTCCTCACATGAATGAAAACTAGTCAGTTTGCCAGCTTAGAGACTCATGGGAATTCATAGTTCGTCTTACTATTGCTGTGTGCCTCACTATGTTAGCTGTTTCATTATTATTTCTACGTACCTGTCTTAAGCCTAAGCTTTTTAAAATGCATTATATTGGGAAAAGAAACTGCCTCACATATAATCAGAATTATATTGCCTACCTTTTTGACTCTAATGCCTGTGATTTGCATAGCCCCTCCCCTTAGGTCTGGATGGAGGATATCTTAAAGTGAAATGACAGACCAGGAGAATAACAACAACATCTCAAGTAATCCCTTTGCTGCTCTTTTTGGCTCCCTGGCCGATGCCAAGCAGTTTGCCGCAATCCAAAAAGAGCAGCTGAAGCAGCAATCTGGTAAGTGGAAGAGCCAATAGTAGCAGATGACATGACCTAGAATGGAGACTCCCCAAATTAAATATTCTTAAGAACTTAATTGCAATTGGAATTTTAAGTTTTGGGCAGTTTGACTTGTTTGTTTGTTTTCTGTCTGCTTGTTCAGGGCAGAAGTTGGTTTACTTTTGGCTTTTATTGTTAGATTTGTTTGGGGGCCTTTTCCTCTTCTGTCCTCCCTTTTGCACAGAAAGAGACCAGATAACAGGTGGTTCCCTAGAAACAGATGCCAGTTGTACAAAGCTGTCAATCACTTAGTATTTTTTTCCCCCAATCCTGGGGCTTGAACTTGGAGCCTGGCACTGTCCCTGAGCCTCTTTGTGTTCAAGGAGAGTGCTCTATCATTTGAGCCACAGCACAACTTCCAGCTTTTTGTGAATAGTTTATTGGAGATAAGAGTCTCACAGACTTTCCCTGCCCAGGTTGCTTTGACCATGATCCTCAGATCTCAGCCTTCTGAGTAGTTAGGATTACAGGCATGAGCTACCAGTACCTGGCTTCACTTAGTGATTTTTTTTTTTGGGGGGGGGGGGGAGGAGGGGTCCGGTCGTGGGGCCTGAACTCTGGGCCTGGGCGCTGTCCCTCAGCTCTTCAACTCAAGAATAGCACTCTACCACTTGAGCCACAGCCCCACTTCCAGCTTTTTTCTTTTTGCTTATGTGGTGCTGAGGAATCAAACCCAGGGCCTCAGGCATGCAAGGCAAGCGCTCTACCACTGAGCCACCTTCCCAGCCCTCACTTAGTGATTTTTAAGTTAATTATCTTGTTAACATCGGTGAGTATAGCTGTGAAAAACATTCTGCATGCAGTTGTAGAAAGCAGAAGTCAAAGGAACAACGATGAAAGCTTTGCTTTCTGACAAAAGAGATTTATTCCTAAGCATAGCATTTCAGAGGTCCTCTTAGAGGAAGTGTTTATTTCATTTTGCTGCATTCCCTCTTGTAGCTTACTGCTGCTAGAACTGACTTCTAAGATCCTAATGCGTAGCTTTAATATGAAAAGGAAAACTTCTCTCGATAACTAATTGTCATCTGGGATCACATTTAAGATCAAATCCACCTTCCTCTTAACAAGTCACAAACTAAAAGAATTAGGCTGATGGTTGTCATACATATTAATCCTGAGGACATTCACAATCATTCAGACTAGAAATTGATCCCTTTTTCCAGTTTCCAAAAGGAATAATTATGGGTTGTAGTTGTGGTGGTTTTTTTTTTTAAGTGAAATATTTGGATTTTTTTCCTTTATTTCTGAGAAACATTTAGAGGCACAGTTCAGCTGTAGTCTTGCTTTGTGGTTAGAATTCAATAAAAAAGGAGGTAAAGTCAAGGTAAACCCATGGTAGAGAGAATGACAGATGAAGCCAGAGGAAAATAAATGCAGTGCTGACCCTGTCCCTGGCTGTGAGCTTACAGAAGGCTGGTCAAGTTGAGTGTATTGCAAGCACCAGCAGTGGGAACAAGGCACATGTCTTCCTGTTACTATTTTGGCAGCTCACTCATCATCTTTGGTTGTTTACTCTGTTTATCATGCCACCAGATCCAGCCTGTTTGCCACCAGCTGTTAATACTTTGCCATGACCTTTGCCTCCCATACTGAGCTTCGTTTTACTAAACCCACCACACCAAAGCCACTCTTACTTCTGGGAGTTTTGCCTGGACTTTCAGAATAACCATTCTGTCACCAGAGTGGTCAAAAAGGCACATAGAAATTCACATTTGGCTTCTAGTAAACAGAACAACTTTTACAGTCACAACATTTTGAGAGACAATGAAGATTCAATTAATAAAAAAAGTAAACTAGGGAAGAAAAAAAAGGAACAAAAGATGTGACAAACAACTTAAACCTAGTCTCACTAATCATAGAGAATTGTTCCTTCAAACACTAGTTAGATCATTTCTTATCTATGAGCTTTATAAGATTCATGGGGAGGCACATAAGTCAGAGAATTTCTAAGGGCAACTTGGTAGTATATATTAATGTTCTAAATATTTGAGCTCTTTCAGCCAGCAATTTCTGCTTCCCTGAATTTATCCTTCAGAAATAGTCACATAAGTGGGAAAAGCAAACAATGAGATCAGTTAAAATAGTCTTTTTTCTTTTTTTTTTTGGTTGGTCGTGGGGCTTGAACTCTGGGCTTGGGCACTGTCCCTCAGCTCTTCAGCTCAAGGCTAGCACTCTACCACTTGAGCTACAGTGCCACTTCCAGTTTTCTGGTGGTTTATTGGAGATAAGAGTTTCACGGGGGCTGGAAAGGTGGCTCAGTGGTAGAGCGCTTGCCTTGCATGCCTGAGACCCTGGGTTTGATTCCTCAGCACCACATAAAAAAAAAGCCAGAAGTGGTGCTGTGGCTCAAGTGGTAGAGTGCTATTCTTGAGTTGAAGAGCTGAGGGACAGCGCCCAGGCCCAGAGTTCAGGCCCCACGACCGGACCCAAAAAAAAAAAAAAAAAAGTTTCACGGACTTTCCTGCCCGGGCTGGCTTTGAACCACGATCCTCAGATCTCAGCCTCCTGAGTAGCTAGGATTACAGGCATGAGCCACTGGTGCCCGGCTTAAAATTGTCTTAAAGGTAGAGGAGGAGGGCATGAGGAAGAGTAGAGAGGGTGAAGTTGAAGGAGTACATTGTATGCATATATATAAATATGATACTATGGAAACCCCCTTGTACAGCTAATATATGCTAATAAAGTATTTTCAATATTTATACAAGTGAACAAAGAGTTACATCCAATATATTATTATATAAATCATTAAAAAACTGAAAAATCCTAGTGTTGATCAGTTAATAACAAACATGGAATTTAAGTAGCTACTTAAATCACACAGTATATGCAAAAAATCCAACACAAAATTGAACTACTTCAGCATAGGGATGGAAATGGGGAAATAAGAAAGATTAATGAGGGTGTGGTAAAGTTATAGCCAGGGATTTCAGAATCCTATATTTGATTTACCTGACCATTAATTAGATTAGTTTGTTTTACATGGAAACTTATTCTCAGCATTTGTCATTGTGGTCAGTACACTTGATTCTCTCTACAAGAAGGAAATGTAATGTCTAATAGCTTACCTTTTCTGACAGATGAACTCCCAGCTAGCCCAGATGACTCGGATAATAGTGTGTCAGAGAGCCTGGATGAATTTGATTACTCTGTGGCTGAGATCAGCCGCTCGTTCCGATCACATCAAGAAATATGTGAGCAACTCAACATCAATCACATGATCCAGAGGATCTTCCTCATTACTCTGGACAACAGTGAGTCATAGGCGTATAGCCAATCTATTGATTATTCTACTCTTCTGCTTGGACTTGGGTTTGAACTTAGTCTAGAGACTCTTGGCACTTAGAAACCTGTTGCATCCAATAGTGAAACAAATCTAGTCCACTGAACTCCCGGGAACACAGGGTCTGTATTTCAGTAAAGCTCTTAGTATGACCTGAAAATAGATCTAAAACTCTAGTCATGTTTGATACCCACTGGCCCTATAAATGACTGACTTTTACTACTTAAAAACAAAGTGAAAACAATAGCCAAACCCATTTTCTTCTTAGAGTAGAGCCTGAAGAGCTATCAGTGTGTTTTTCTTCTGGGCCATGTCATATAAACCCCCAAATTAGTACTGATCTCTACAGTTTACTTAAAAAAAAAAAACAAAAAACAACAACCCTGGGGTTTGAACTTAGGTACTCTATCATTTGAGCATGCCCACCCCTTTTGCTTTTAGTTACTTTTCAGCTTTTTGCCCTTGCCAGCCTTGGGCCACAGTCCTCCATTTATGTCTCCTTCATAGCTGGGAATAGGTGTACACTATCACACCCAAATCATGGGAGTTACTCTTCAAATGTCATGAATGACCATAACAAAACCTGTGTTTTTAAGTTGGGTGTTGGGGCTATATGCTGCTTTGTGAATCAAGGTCCCTGTAATCATACCTGAGCCAAGAGAAATTCTGTCAAGATCAGTTGTCTAGACTTGGGTACAGTTGTGACCATTTATAGTCACAGCTACTGGGAAGACTAAGGATCACTTGAGCTTTAAGGAGCTCAAGGCCATCCTAGACAACAAAGCAAGGCTTTGTATCTAAAACAAGACCTGCACAAGACCAGGAGCATCATCCTTAACCTGTCAGATTAAAACTGTTTCCCAGGTGATCCAAGCTTGAAAAGTGGCAATGGGATCCCCAGCCGTTGTGTGTATTTGGAAGAAATGGCGCTGGAGCTGGAAGATCAAGACTGGCTTGATATGAGCAATATTGAGCAGGTACCATTCTTATATTTCTATCATGTCCTCAGTAAAAACGAGCCATGCAGCTGAATCCTCTTCACTGCCCTCCAACCATGATCTCAATTACCCTCATCTCTACCATCATTTACAGTGATCCTCTCTTACAGTCTCCTTGTCTACTCTGGCCATATGTCCAAATCTACCTGTTATTTAAGAACCATTTAAAAGGCCATCAAAGCTTGCCAGATAAAAATTATTGCTCTTTCCTCCAAGTGTCTCACTATCGTGATTGATCTCTTATAGGAATCAACACTTTCTATCTCATGTCATGGCCTTTCTACGCATCTCTCTTATCTCTCCCTACTAAGCTCTTAAATTCTTTAGGAGTACTGCCATTTTTGTTGTTGTTGCTTATATACTTTCAGAAATCAAAACAGGCCTGGCACTGGTGGCTCAGGCCTGCAATCTTAGCTAGCAGGGAGGCTGAGATCTGAAGATCATGATTCAAAGCCATCGGGACAGGAAATGCCATGAGACTCTTATCTCCAATTAACCACCTGAAAACTGCAAGTGACACTGTGGCTCAAAGTGGTAGAGCAGAAAAGCTCAGGGACTGTACCTGAGTTCAAGCTCCTCACCCAAAAAGAAAGGAAGGAAGGAAGAAGGGGAGAGAAAAGAAATCAAATCAAAACAATACTGTATTAGTCAAAAGTTTGTTTTGTCCCCAGTGTCCATGATACATTGGCCCCATTGTTTTGGACTGTGGAAAGATAATACATCATAATGGGAGAATGTAGTAAAGTAAATCACTTATATTACTAGGCAAGGAAGACCACAGTCCTTTCAAGGGATCACCTCTGATGACTTAAGGACCTTCCAGAAAGGAGGAGTTGGGGAAGTGGGGAGGGAAGGGATGGTAGGGGAAAAACAAAGGTGGGGTTAACAATGCTCAGTAAGAAATATACTCATTACCTTATTCATGTAACTGTAACTCCTCTGTACAGTGTCTTTACAATAAAAAAATATATCTATTAGGGCTAGGAATGAGGCTTAGTGGTAGAGCGCTTGCCTTTTATGCATGAAGCCCTGGGCTCAATTTCTCAGTACCACATAAACAGAAACAGCTGGAAGTGGCACTGTGGCTCAATGGTAGAGTGCTAGCCTTGAGCAAAAGAAGCTCAGGGAGAGTGTCCAAGTGCTGAGTTCAAGCCCCAGGACTGGCAAAAAAAAAAAAAAAAAAAAGGACCTTCCACCAGGCCCAGGTCTTGATTTCCACCACTTTCCAATCGCACCACACTGGCCTTTGGAGGACATTGCACTGCACTCTTCAGACACCTGGTACACACTACAGGAATGAAAGTTGATAGGTTTAGAGTAGGCAGAAACAGGAAGATTGCTAGTTCAAAGCCAGCTTAGGCAAAGTTAACAAAGTCCTATCTCAAAAACAAAATAAAGGATTGGCTCAAGTGATATGAGTGCTGTCTACCTTTGCAAGGCCCTGGGTTCAATCAGTATTATAGGCGAAGAAAATAGCAGGAAAGATACTTGACAACTTGGGAGTTTAACTTTACACATGTAACAAAGCTTTTATAAACCCAATAATCACACAAAATAATAAATTTCATACATAAACCACTGATTCTCAGTGCCAGTCAAGTAATCTTTTAATGCCTACTCTGTGGTGAGGCTATACCACACAGTTTTTGGTTTGGTTTGGTTTGGTCATAGGGCTTGAACTCAGGGCCTGGGTGCTGTACCTGACTTCTTTTGCTCAAGGCAAGCGCTCTGCCACTTTGAGCCATACCTCCACTTCGAGTTTTCTGGTGGTTAATTGGAGATGAGTCTCATGGACTTCACTGTCCCAGCTGGCTTTGAACCACAATCCTCAGATCTCAGACTTCTGAGTAGCTAGGATTATAGGAGTGAGCCACCAGTGCCCAATGCACAATTTTCTTTATAAAGTTATTTTCTAATATTTTTCCCTTCCCTGTAAACCAAGTCTATGATTCTTAGAATAACCCATATCAAAATTACTTTTTACCTCTTAGTTCTAAAGGTTAATTTTGCAATAGTATAGTGTTTTTATTTCTTTTTCTTAATAGGCCATCTTTGCCCGGTTATTACTTCAAGATCCAGGAAACCACTTGATTAACATGACTTCTTCTACAACATTAAATCTCTCTGCTGATCGAGATGCAGGGGAAAGGCACATCTTTCGTTACCTTTACTCCTGCTTCCAAAGAGCTAAGGAAGAGGTAAAGGAATAATCCCTATTAAATACTATATTGTCCCTTGGATTGGCATGTAACTGAATTGGATCACTGTATGTGTATGTGATATTATATACATTTATCCTCCTCACAGTGTGGAACTGGGTATTAGAGGCACTCTAAACTGATTTCTAAAGATGTGGTCCTATTTCTGTGGCTTGGAGTCCATCTCAGCTAACCTCCTGCCTCCTACTCATATTCTTTTTCTATCCTCCCTCTCCCTCTCCTGCCAGTCCTGGGGCTTGAACTCAGCACTTTGGCACTGTCCCTGTGCTACTTTTGCTCAAGGCTACTATTCTACCACTTGAGCCACAGTGCCACTTCCGGCTTTTTCTGTCTATGTAGTACTGAGGAATTAAACCCAGGGCTTCATGCATGCTAGGCAAGCTCTCTACTTCTAAGCCACAATCCCAGCCCCTCCTAATCTCTCCTTAAACCACTTTAGAAATCACCCCATTAAGCTGGGCTGGTGGCTCTCACCTGTAATCCTAGCTACTCAGGAGATCGAGACCTAAGGGTTGCATTTCAAAGCTAGTCTGGGCAGAACAGTCTGTGAGACTCTTATCTCCAATTAGCCACCCCCAAAACAGAAATGGAGCTGTGGCTCAGAGTGGTAGAGCACTGTCCTTGAGCACAAAAGCTCAGGGACAGCATCCAGGCTTGGGTTGAAGCCCCAGGACCGATTTAAAAAAAAACACTTATTTTTAAAATATAACTTTAATTTTTTTTGTTTTTGTTTTTGTTTTTTTGGTCAGATATGGGGCTTGAACTCTGGGCCTGGGCACTGTTCCTCAGCTCTTCATCTCAAGGCTAGCACTCTACCACTTGAGCCACAGCACCACTTGCAGCTTTTTCTGTTTATGTGGTGCTGAGGAATCAAACCCAGGGCCTCATGCCTGCATGTCAAGCACTCTACCACTGAGCCACCTTCCCAGCCCTAAAATATTTTTAAAAGATCTGAGTAAACCATTTACACTACAAGTATAGAGTAGGCTAAGCTTGGGACTTCCAGTCTAGAATTTCAACAAGTGATTTCTTAAGCCAAAGAATGAATCTGTTGTAAATTTTCAAGCATCTGCAAGAAAGCAGTATTGTTTTGGGACATCTTGTCTTTCCCATTGTTGTGTCGACCCTTGTTCTGGTCCTAGAAGCTGTACTCTTCCCTGTCTTCATGTTGTTTGCAGATTACCAAAGTTCCAGAGAATCTGTTGCCCTTTGCAGTGCAGTGTAGGAACCTCACTGTGTCTAATACCCGAACGGTTCTTCTCACCCCAGAGATCTATGTTGACCAAAACATCCATGAGCAACTGATAGATTTGATGTTAGAAGCCATCCAAGGAGCCCGTGAGTACATAAGATCTTTCCAAATTTCAAATTCCTGTTCATTTCATTAGAAAGTTTCAGAGCCATTATGGTTATGGTATAAATAAAGGAGGACAGCTCACATATCTTATCTTTGACTTAAATACCAAAAATAGGAAGAATAGAGCCAGTAAATGGTGCTAGGGCTGTAACTCACTGGTAGTGCACTTTCCTGGGATGCACAGGGTCCTGGCTTTGGTCACCAGCACCTCAAGAAGAGAGGGTGGGGGGAGAAAGTGTGCTAATGTATAAAAATATTCCAGTGGCCTCTTTTTTTTCTTTTTTTCTTTTTTTTCTTTGGTCAGTCAGTCGTGGGGCCTGAGTTCTGGACCTGGGAGCTGTCCCTCAGCTCTAGCTAAAGGCTAGTGCTCTACCACTTGAGTGTCAGCCCCACTTCCGGCCTTTTCTGTTTATGTGATGCTGAGGAATCGAACCCAGGGCCTCATGCATGCAAGGCAAGCTCTCTACCACTGAGCCACCTTCCCAGCCCCTCCTTTCTCTCTTTTGTCTTGGGTTAGATTTTGAAGATGTAACTGAATTTCTAGAAGAGGTCATTGAAGCATTGCTGTTGGATGAGGAAGTTCGAACATTTCCTGAAGTTATGATTCCAGTGTTCGATGTTTTATTGAACCGGATAAAAGATCTGGAGCTCTGCCAGATCCTCTTGTATGCATATCTGGATATTCTTCTGTATTTCACTAGGCAAAAGGATATGGCTAAGGTAAGTCTGAAAGTAGTCTATGTTCATTGAACTTGTGACTTAACATTTCATACTTCTGTGCTCCCAGGGCTCAATATCATTACCTACAAAACAAGAGAAAGATGGATTGGTTGTTTTTTATATATACATATACATATATATTTACTGAATTCTTGGAGGCCTTGCATCCCTTGCACTTTTATCTTGCCATACAGATGATTAAGAGGAACTTGTCTTGTCTTACAGGTTTTTGTAGAATACATTCAGCCCAAGGACCTTAACAATGGGCAGATGTATCAGAAGACCTTGCTGGGAGTCATTCTCAGTATCTCCTGCTTGTTAAAGACTCCGGGTGTGGTAGAAAATCATGGCTACTTCCTGAACCCATCTCGTTCCAGTCCTCAGGAGATCAAAGTGCAGGAGGCCAACATCCATCAGGTGGAACTGTTTCCTAGGGTATCCTAGTCCCAGATTGTAGGTTAAGTCATTTCCTCATGAACCATGTCCAGTTTAGGTTATCTAAGCCTCTTTTGGAAAGCAGATTGGTCTTGTTGGCTTTTGCTGTACCAATATAAGGAAAGGCCCTCTTGTAGCATTTGGTAGGAGTACAGGGGAATTTGCCCTGGGGTGAAAGCAGGCTATTGCAACTCTTGTCTTGCTCTCTGCGGTAGTACTGCTACATCCGCTCAACCCCCACATTTCTTACCAAACCATTCTTATCACTTAGCTCCTAAAATTGTTTGACTGAGCTTATGAACCTTTTTTTAATCTTCTTCTATCTTCCCACCAACTATGCCCTTTTTGCTTGGACCTTTTAACAAAATTTTAATAGAGGCAGACCACCATGAGGCATCTAAGTGGGTGAACTGGGGACATTTTAAGTATCTCATTCACTATTTAATTATCACAACTCTGTCAAGCAGGTGTTGACAAACCATAGCAGTAGCCAAATCCAGCCTGCCACCTGTTTTTGTAAATAAAGTTTTATGGGGCTGGGAAGGTGACTCAGTGGTAGAGTGCTTGCCTTGCATGCATGAGGCCCTGGGTTCGATTCCTCAGCACCACATAAGCAAAAAGAAAAAAGCCAGAAGTGGTGCTGTGGCTCAAGTGGTAGAGCGCTAACCTTGAGGTGAAGAGCTGAGGGACAGCACCCAGGCCCAGAGTTCAGGCCCCACGACCAGACCCCCCCCCCCCCCAAAAAAAAAAAAAAAAAGTTTTATTGAACAGCCATGTCCATATTGCGTATGGCTTGATTTCATGCTATAACAGTAAAGTTGGATAATTGCTGCCAAGACCATATAACAAGCAGAGCCAGAAATATTTATTATCTAATGCTTGACAAAAAAAGCTAATGACCCCCTGTTGTCTTCAGTTTAACAGTAGCTTAAAAAAATTCCTAAGAGCCCATACCTTTTTTTTTTTTAATCCAGTCTGGGGGATGAGGCACAAAGAGAATGAGGGGAAAGATTAGAATTAGCATACTTTTAGAAACTGCCAACTGGTAAAGTTTGAACATCAAAAAAAAAAAAAATACTAGGATTGTGAAACTGGAATGTTCTGTGGTTGTGTTTTCTGGTTAAACAGTTCATGGCTCAGTTCCATGAAAAGATCTACCAGATGCTGAAGAACTTACTCCAGCTCTCTCCAGAAACCAAGCACTGTATCTTATCCTGGCTTGGGAACTGTTTGCATGCAAATGCAGGCCGCACCAAGATTTGGGCCAATCAGATGCCAGAAATCTTCTTCCAAATGTATGCCTCGGATGCCTTCTTTCTGAATCTGGGTGCTGCTCTTCTGAAGCTATGCCAGCCATTTTGCAAACCCAGATCCTCCCGGCTCCTCACCTTTAATCCCACTTACTGTGCCCTGAAGGAGTTGAATGATGAAGAACGAAAAACTAAAAATGTACACATGAGAGGTAGGGTGGGGAGAAACTGGGCTTCTCAAAGTGTGTGTGTGTGTGTGTGTGTGTGTGTGTGTGTGTGTGTGTAAAAAACTAAAGATGTACACATGAGAGATAAGGGGGAACTGGGCTCCTCAAAGTGTGTCTGTGTCTCTTTAAGACAGTTTTGTTTTGCCAGTACTGGGTTTGAACTCAGAGCTACCCCCTACCCCCACTTGCTTGGCTTGCTTGCTCATAGCCACACTTCCAACCTGGCTGGTTATTTTGAAGATGGTTCCTTGGGACCTCTTTTGCCCAGGCTGGCTTCAAATCTGAGTCTCTGGATTACCTTCATGAGTAGCTTGGATTACAGGCATAAGCTACTAGCACTAGCAAAGACAGATTTCAAGTGTTATGCTCTAGTGAGACTTCTCTGGATTTGGCAGCTTGAGCATTCATTCACAGATCTTAAAAAACGAGACTCTAGAAGAAGGCAAATATGTTAACAGATAGTTATAATTCGCCTTCTTGCTAAGCTGTAGGAGCACAGAGCCAGAAGTGCATAATCAACTCCTGAGAAGCTGGAGGTTGTCACAGCTAAATCTTGAAAGACAAGTTAGGTTTTACCAGGCAAAAGAGCAAGAGACTCTCTTTATGCAAAGGGAAAAACAAGTGTAAGAAACGCAGATCTGGAAAGTGTTGACTGATGAATAAGGAGCAATTCAGTGTGGCTAGAATGAGAGGGAAATGAGGAATTAGTGGTGAATAGTAAGGAGGAAATGGGTCTGGAGAGGAAGAAGATTGGGACCAGACTGGAAAAAACTTAAACAGTATACAGAAGTGAAAAGAAAAATGACTTAATGTTTCTACCACTCAGCATGAATTGCTTCCTAATTTTGATGTATCACTTCTACTTTATGACTCTGGTAATTATAAAAGTGATGCGTACCCAGGCACAGGTGGCTCACACTATAATCGTGGCTACTCGGAAGACTGAGATCTGAGGATGTCAGTTCCAAGCCAGCCCATTCAAGAAAGTCCATAACCACCAAAAAGCCAGAGGTGAAGCTGTGGCTCAAGTGGTGAAGTGCTAACCTTAAGCAAAAAAGCTGAGGGACAGCACCCAGGCCCTGAGTCCAAGCCCTAGGACTGGCACACAAAAATAAAAGTGATACCTGCTCTAAAGCAAATAAGTACAGAAAAGTTCAAAATATATATACGTGGTCCATTGCCTATCAATGAGAAAAATCTATTCCTTTTAAGTTTTGGTGATTGCATCAGTTAAACAAAGGGGTCTTAACTATTTCTGTAGACAACAAGAAGCCAAAAAAAGTAATTAGGTAAGGAAGTAATGTGACAAGATTTATTTTGAAAACAATAAGATAAGATTTATTTTGATAGCAATATAGAAGCTGAATAAAAGTAAGGGGAGTTTGGAGACCAAGGTAGATGTCTATGGCTACCCATTCACCATTCCTTTTAACTTGTTTCAGGCTTGGATAAAGAAACCTGTTTGATCCCAGCTGTACAGGAGCCAAATTTTCCACAGAGCTACAACCTTGTAACAGAGAACCTTGCCCTGACAGAGTACACCTTGTATTTGGGATTTCACAGGTAACTCTTTTGCTATCATTGGAAAAGAAATATTTAGTTGTATTGACAACCAGATTGAAAGTGAGCCTTAGAGACTTACTCTAAAGACTTAAACTGCAGTCTAGTGGGGAGGGGACAATCAGGCATTTATTTCTTCATGTTTATGTGAATCAAATGAAGGATATGCTAATATTTTCTCGACATTATAGAAATCATTAAATCATCTTCTGTTTTCATCTAGGAAAATTCAGTTATTTTCCTTTTATAGTTCACTTCCTGCTCATATTTTTATTTTCTACTCATAATTTTTTAAACTTAAGTTTTAGTTGGGCACTGGTGGCTCACACCTGCTCAAGAGACTGAGATCTGAGGAACAAGGCTTAAAGCTATCCAGGCAGAAAAGTTTTTTGGTTTTGTCAGTTGTGGGGCTTGAACTCTGGGCCTGGGTGCTATCTCTAAGCTCTTCAACTCAGGGCTAGTACTCTACCACTTGGGCCACAGCAACATTTCTGGTTTTCTGGTGGTTCATTGTAGGTAAGAGTCTCTAGGACTTTCCTGCCCAGACTGATTTTGAATGGTGATCCTCAGATCTCAGCCTCCTGAGTAGCTAGGATTATAGGCGTGAGCCACTGGCCCCCGGCTCAGAAAAGTTTTATGAGGCTCTTATCTCCAATTAACCACCAAAAAGATGGAAGTAGAAGCGAGGTGCCAGTGGCTTATGCCAATAATCTTAGCTACTGAGAAGGCTGAGATCTGAGAATCTCAGTTTCATGACAGCCCAGGCAGGAAAGTTTGTGAGACACTTATCTCCAATTAATAACCAGAAAACTAGAAGTGGAGCTATGGTTCAGAGTGGTAGAGCACTATCCTTGAGCATAAAAGTTCAGGGATAGGGCCCAGGCTCTTGAGTTCAAGCCCCACAACCAACCAAAAAAAAAAAGGAAGCAGAATTGTAGCTCAAGTGGTAGAGCACTAGCCTTGAGTGGAAAAGCTCATAGACAGCACCTAGGCCCTGAGTTCAAGGCCCAGGACTTAAAAAAAAAAAGGTTCTGCTTTGTAGTAAAAGACAAAATTGTCAAACATTAAGACAGTTTTGATATAAGATTTCAATGAGACCAGTACAAACACACTCTGAAGATCTGTGTACCTACCAGAAAAAGGACTACAAGGTGTGAAGATTTCAGAACTAGTAGGTTGAGTTCCTGGCCAGCCACATGTCATCTTACAATTTTTGATTTCCTTTTACTTTGCTGCTTATGATTACCAGTATAAATAAGGAGAAATAAATAGGAATTCAGTCATAGTTCAGGTCCATGGAAAGAGTTTTTCAGCACCTTGTTAAGGTTTTGTTTTGTTTTATTTTTTGTCTTTTCAGAATACTTAACACAGCATTTTCCCTCCAAACTTGCTCAAACAGTAAATTACTGAAAAACTTGTCTTTATTAGTTTTTAAATGACATGATTAACATTGTGAGACAGTAGATAGATGTTCAGCATATCTTTTAATCTGTTTAACAATCTAGATTCAGACACAAAAATGATTGTTATCTAGTTCCCTGATATGTTACCCTCAACATTAACTGTGAGATTTTAACTGAGTGATTTTGGACATGTAGATTCAGTTATCCATAGCTTTGAATTCTTCTGGTTAAGATTATTTGGACAAACTATTGTGAAGAATAATTTCATTTTATATTGCACAGTAGAGACCTGGAAGTTGGTCTTAGATCACATCCCAGGTGGTAACTAGCTGATACGTGGTCATTACTAATCTGGAGTCCTTTTATTTGCTTGGTTTTCTCCTAATTTGCAAACCATCCCTATTACCCCTTCAACACAGGACCATCACACTGTGGCCTACTTTGTACTGGGCTTCTTGCACTTTGCTTAATACTTGCATATTTTACGTAACATCCAATGCTATACCCTGCTAAACCAAGCTACTGCTCTTTGCATTGGCACTGAAGACTGCTATTTATGATTAGCTTCTTTGTGTTGAATGCTTGGTAACATTTTCCATTGCTGTTGACCTTCCTTGTCAGAAACTATTGGAATACTTTCTGTGTTATTGTACCTGCAACTCCCTACATCCTTGAAGAGAATCCCAAAAGAAAGAAATGAGGATATGTTTTGCTGAAGTAGTTTATATTAGACTGTCCTCAAATGAGCCTCCCTGACCCAGTCTCTTTTGCTTCCTTGGGGGCAGGTTGCATGATCAGATGGTGAAAATCAACCAAAATCTGCATCGGCTGCAAGTAGCCTGGCGGGATGCTCAGCAGAGTTCTAGCCCTGCTGCTGATAGTCTCCGGGAGCAGTTTGAACGACTGATGACCATCTATCTTTCTACCAAGACGGCGATGACTGAGCCACAGATGCTACAAAACTGCCTAAATTTGCAGGTGTCTATGGCTGTTCTCCTGGTTCAGCTAGCCATAGGCAATGAGGGCTCACAGCCAATAGAACTAACTTTTCCTTTGCCAGATGGCTACAGTGCTTTGGCTTATGTGCCAGGTAAGTAGGCTCTCCAATGGGAACTTCCTATTTATAGCCATCTAAGTTTAACTGGGTCACCTTGGAAGTGTAATTCTCAAAATACTCTTCCTTCACTATCCTTCCATTGTTTTTGGAGAAACAAATCAAACTCATAAATAATATAGTATTTACTAATCAAAGTATGAGGCCACACGAGGCCTTGGACTTGTTTCCTCAGTGCTGTGCATATCAAAAGATGCAGAACAGGCAGAGTTTTCATGAGCTGTTCTCTTATTGATATTGTTTGTCATTCAAATTACAGATTTGTCTGTCTAACTTTCTCTAAGCTTTTTTAAAGGAAAGATTGTCTCCTATCAGTTAACCCTTCTAAAAGGAAGATTGTATGTGTATGTAGTGAGGGATTAGCAGATACTATGCATCAAATCAGGCAAAATGTTCTTGCTATTTGCTATGTTTGCTACATATTGCTCTATAACAAATCATCTAACACATAGCAGCTTAAAACAAACATTGTCTCACAGTTTCCATGGGTCAGGAGCACTTGCTAGTGGTTTTACCTTATCAGGTTGCAGCCAGGCTATCAATCAAGGATATAGGAATCTGAGGATTCAACTAAGGCTGGAGGATCCAATTGCAAAGCCAGTCATGTGGATGTGGTCAGACCTCAGTTGTTTGCACAAAGGGCTAGCACCCTCTTTTCTAGGCCACAGTCATCTCCTTAGTACCACTCATGAGATGGCACCTGGCTTCTCTCAGTACAAATCATCAAAATGGAAGCGGGAAGCTTTTATTACCACATCTTTGAAATGACATGTCATCACTTACACTGTATACTTCAGGATGACTTCTTTTACCCTAGAAAGATGTAGGAAGAACCAGGCATGGTAGTATACACCTATAATCCCAGCACTCAGAAGGTGGAGGCAGGAGGATCGAAAGTTGGAGGCCAGCTTAAACTATGTAAATTTAAGCCATTCTGAGCTACACAGCAAAACCCTGTCTCAAAAAAAGAAAGCAAGCAGGGGCTAGGAATGTGACTTAGTGGTAGAGTGCTTGCCTAGCATGCATGAAGCCCTGGGTTCAATTCTTCAGTACCACAGAAAAAGCTGGAAGTGGTGCTATGGCTCAAGTGGTAGAGTGCTAGCCTTGAGCAACAACAAGCTCAGAGACAGTGCTCAGGCCCTAAGTTCAAGCCCCAGGACTAGCCAAAAAAGAGAAAGAAAGAAAGAAGGGAAGGAGGAAGAAGGAAAGTGTAGGCTGGCCACCATAAGCTTCTAATGTAAAACTCCTGATCTATAACTCTTCAGATACTTAAAGGACTGCTTAAATTATGGTTAGCCTTGAGTTAGGAAAATATGTAAGTGGTGTGTTAACAATAGTTTGGGTCATTCCTGTTCATATATTTACTTGATATACCTATAAAGGAGATTCTACATTTATTTACTTATCCGTAGGTTAAGACCTTTAAATTTTTTAAAACTTCATCAAGTAGGGAGAACAGGAGAAACAGAAATATTTAGTACCAGTGGACAGTGAATATTTTCCTTTTCAGAGTTTTTTGCAGATAACCTGGGTGATTTCCTCATTTTTCTCCGTCGCTTTGCTGATGACATCTTGGAGACATCTGCGGACTCCCTGGAGCATGTCCTCCACTTCATCACCATTTTCACTGGAAGCATAGAAAGGTGAGGTGCTGAAAGCGTGAGTCACGGTTAGGAGCAGCAGAACATTCAAAAGACTACTAAACCAAGAAATAAACAAGCCTGAATCATAAGGGGTTGCTTTTCAGAAGTTACATTAATGTTAATTAATCACTTGACCATCCCAATGGGCAGTCAAAAATCCCATTGTGGAGAGGCATAATAAGCAAAGGACTTTGCCCACAGAGAATTTGAACCTGCACATCAGATACCTTCATGGGAATTACACTGCTAGTCCCTGGTTAAAATAGCTACCACATTGCCAGAAATCTTACCAGTGGCATGCTGGTGCTAATGCTCTCCGATTAATTGTATGACGCCAGAGCTTGCTCTTGCTGGTCTGAAGTGTTTGAGCAGTTAACTTAGGTCAGTGTAACTTCGAATCTTAAGTCTCTTAACTCATAGCTTCTAGACCTTTTTCGCAAAGAATATATATTATGGCTTTTAGAATTGCTTCCCTAGCTTTTTTGGTGCATAGACCAAAGGAAACAGACTCTTTTTTTGTCTGTCGTAGGGCTTGAACTCTGGGCCTGGGCGCTGTCCCTTAGCTCTTCAGCTCAAGGCTAGTGCTCTACCACTTGAGCCACACTGCCACTTCCGGCTTTTTTTTTTTTAAAGTTCACATTTGCTGCACAATAAAGAGAATGAGCCAGGTCTTGGTGACTCATGACTATAATCCTAGCTACTCAGGAGACGGAGATCTAAGACTTGCCATTCAAAGTCAGTCTGGGCAGAATAGAGAAACTTTTTTTCTCCTTTTTTTCTTTTTGGCAGTTGTGGGGCTTGAACTCAGGCCTGGGCACTATCCCTGAGCACTTTTGCTCAGGCTAGCACTCCATCACTTTGAGCTATTGCTCCATTTCTGGTTTTCTGGTGGTTAATTGGAGATAAGAGTCTCACAGGGACTTCAGGCTGGCTTTGAGCCACGATCCTCAGACCTCAGCCTCCTGAGTAGCTAGAATTACAGGTGTGAACCATCAACTCCCAGCTGAGCAATTCTTTTATCTTCAATTAACTAGCAAAAAATTTGAAAAACTTGACTGGAAGTGTGACTTGAGTGGCAGGACACCAGTCATAAGCAAACAAGATGAATGACAACGAGACCTAAGGCCCCACTGCACAAAGAAAGAGAGAATGACCCAAAATTCCCTGAGCCATATCAATGAAAAGTAGATAAAAGCAGACCTAAGGAGAAGTCATAAGTCCCTAAGTCTTGACTAGGTAGGCATGGAATAAATTTGAGTAACATATGACAATTATAACCTAATCTCATTAAAGCTTGGGAAAGCAAGTTTTATCCTGAGTGAAACTGTCAGAGAATAATATGAAGTAAATAATGCATTGTTGCCGGGCATTGGTGGCTCATGCCTGTAATCCTAGCTACTCAGGAAGCTGAGATCTGAGGATCACAGTTCAAAGCCAACCCAGGCCGGAAAATCTGGGAGAACCTTATATCCATTTAATCAAAAAGCTGAAAGTGGTGCTATGGCTCAAGTGGTAGAGTACTAGCCTTGAGCAAAAGGAGCTTAGAGACAGTGCCCAGGCCCAGAGTTCAAACTTCAGGACTGGCCAACAATAACAACAACAATAATAATAATAATGCATTGTTATAAAAACAAATTGGGTGGCTAAGTATTAAATAGAGATTTAAGTACTCACCCTCAAACTTGTTCAGCTCTCACCTCAAGTTAAATGGTATACCCTGCATCACCCCAGTATTGGCAAACTTCAAACTGCACAGTGGATCTTGTTTTTTCTTGTAATGGCAGTATGAGGCATGTTAGCTCCTCTGTGGAGAGGCCAGAAGTGTGCATTTGGGAGTTCGTTTCTGCTTATCTTGCTTTCTGTCCTCCTTGCAGAATGAAGAATCCCCACCTCAGGGCCAAGCTCGCTGAGGTGTTAGAAGCAGTGATGCCTCACCTTGATCAGACCCCAAGTCCCTTGGTATCCAGTGTGTTCCACCGGAAACGTGTATTCTGCAACTTTTCATATGCACCCCAACTTGCAGAAGCGCTAATCAAGGTTTTTGTGGACATTGAATTTACAGGTAAAGTGGTTGCACAGCCAAGTCCAGAACAAAAAGCTGATACCAGTGGAATGTCATTGCTTGATCACTGTTGAATATCAGAGAAATGTCAAGCCATCATTTGTTGAATATCTGCTGTGAGCCAGGCTTGATGTTGAGTGCTTTTTAAATTCATTACACTACTAATCTGCCACCTTCTGAAAAGTTTGACTTTATTCTCATTTTACCTATGAGAACATGAATACTAAAAAATTTAATTATCTATTCATGTCATACAACTAATAAGTGGTAGAACCAGCCAGGCACTAGTGACTAATGTCTGTAATCCAAGCTATTCAGCAGTCTGAGACCTGAAGACTCACAATTCAAAGTCAGCCTGAGCAGAAAAATCTGTGAGACTCCATCCCCAGTTAACCAACCAAAAGCCAAAGCAAGGCATGACTCAACCTGTAGAACACAGGCTGTGAACAAGAAAACTGAGCAAGAGCATGAGGCTCTGAGTTCCAGCCCCAGTTATGGGAGTTATGGGAAGAGACAGGGAGAAAGAAAAAAGATAGGAGACTCATATTAAATTAAGCATCCAACTACCCTGTGACTCCAAATGCTATTCTCTCCCCTTTTTTTGTTGGTTGGTCCTAGGCCTTGAACTCTGGGCCTGGGTGCTGTCCCTGGACTCTTCAGCTCAAGGCAAGTGCACTACCACTTGAGCCACAGCACCTCTTCCAGTTTTCTGGTGGTTAATTGGAGATAAAGAGTCTCACTGACTTTCCTGCCCAGTCTGGCTTTGAACTGCAATCCACGGATCTCAGCCTCCTGAGTAGCTAGAATTACAGGCATGAGCCACCAGCAGTGGCTTTCTCTCCCTTTTGTATATGGTCCAGTTTATAGGGCTCTAGTGATATCTTGGTATTTTTAAAACATCTGGGCCTCAGGTTTTTAGCTTCTGGCCAGAACCAATTGGGCTAGGTACTGATTGCTCATACTATAATCCTAACTACTACCCAGGAGGCTGATTATCTCCATTTGGCCAGCAAAAAGCCAGAAATGGAGGTGTGCTTCAAGTGATAGAATACCAGTCAAGCAAGAGGCCCTGAGTTCAAGCCTTGTACCAGCACACAAAAGAACCAGTATTAGTATTTATGTTCTCATAGGTAAAATGAGAATAAAGTCAAACTTTTCAGAAGGGGGCAGATTAGTAGTGTAATGAATTTAAAAAGCACTCAACATCAAGCCTGGCTCACAGCAGATATTCAACAAAAGTTCCATGGTTGGGGTACTGTCTGTAAATAATGTGGGGATTACTTAGTGTTCTGCATATGACTTTGCCACTACCGGGACCAGCCCAGAGGCCTTGTTTACATCCTCCACAGTTGGATTTGAAAGCATTTGTTTCCTTTAGCTTTTATTTTACAGCTTCATCCTTGTGCCTTGAAGAGTAAGGTCTCCTTTATATCTGTTTCCCTCTTGTTTTCTTAGAAAGGAAATGAGCAAGCATTAAGCCCTGTTCTAGATCTTTAGAAAATCCTAAGAAAGGCTAGGGATGTAGCTCAATGTTAGAGCATTTGCCAAGAATGTACAAAGCCCTGGGCTCAATCCCCAGAATTGTAATAAACTGGTAAGAACAATTTTGTTAGTAATCCCCCCTCCCCCTTCCCCCCCTCTCCCCTGCAAAAAAAAAAAGGCACATAGGCATAAGCTGTTGATCCTTTTCTTAATCACATTTGCTGATATCTTGCTCTCGTTTTAATCTAGGAGATCCCCATCAATTTGAACAGAAGTTTAATTACCGCCGTCCCATGTATCCCATCCTGAGGTACATGTGGGGGACAGATAGCTACCGGGAGAGCATTAAGGTGAGAGAGAGTTAATGAGACCAGTTGCTTCAGGTAAGTCCTAAGTGACATGCAATTCAGTACTAAATGGCTTTCTCTTGGGCTGGGATTTATAGGATTTGGCTGACTATGCCTCTAAGAATTTAGAAGCCATGAATCCCCCACTTTTCCTTCGCTTTCTTAACCTGCTGATGAATGATGCCATATTCCTTTTGGATGAAGCTATACAGGTAAGCAGAAAAGATTTAACCATCAAATCTTGAACAGTATATACTTCTTCTTTTTTTTTAAAAAAAGGTTTTTATTGTGAAAATACTGTTGAGAGGGGTTACAGTTACATGAGCAAGGTAATGAGTACATTTCTTACCCAGCGTTGTTCCCTCCTCCTTTGTTTTTCCCCTACCATCCCGTCCCTCCCACCTCCTCAACTACACCCCCTCCCCAGCATATACTTCTTTTTTTTTTTTTTGTCGGTTGTGGGGTTTGAACACTGAGCTTGGGCGCTATCCCTGCGCTCTTCAGCTCAAGGTGAGTGCTCTACTGCTTGAGCCACAGCACCACTTCCTCCAGCATATACTTCTGACTGTTACATTATAATACATTATTCCTTCATACCCATCTTGAACACCAGAAGTAGTGCTATTCCTTCATGCTTACCAGTAGAGAGCTTTCCCCATTATTGTTCCAGTAGAGACATGATCAAAGGGCAGTCCCACTGATGGCCAAGACCACCTATGACAGGGATTTTCATCCTTTCTCCATCTAATCATAGCAGTGGTTTACTAATACAGTAATTTTAACCCTCTGTCCCCTAAAAATTCTGAGTTTTGCATCATTACTTTAAAAGTCTCTGGTTTGGATTTTTTTTTTAATAAAGATTTTAAATTTTTTCAGAAGTGATGGTACATGTCTATAAACTCAATACTCAGGAGACTGAGGCCAGAGGATCACAAGTTCCAATCCAGCCTGGGCTCTATAGTGAGACCCTGTTTCAAAAAACGCCAACCAATTAGTTAATGACGGTTCACACCTGTAAACCTAGCTACTCGGGCAGGAATCTGAGGATTGCAGTTTGAAGCTAGCCTGGGCAGAACAATCCATGAGATTCTTATCTCCACTCCAATTAACCCGCAAAAAACTGGAATTAGAGCTGTGGCTCAAATGGAAAAGTGCTAACTTCGAATGAATAAGCTCTGTAACTCCTGTAACTCCTAGCAACACAGGGATACACAAGTAGGAGGACCATAGCCCATACCAGCCCAGGCATAAATCAAGACCTCAAAAATAGTCAATGTAAAAAGAGGCTTACAGGCATGGCTCAAGTTATAGAGCACCATAAGCAAAAAAGAGACTCCAAGTTGTACTTTTCCTCTATTCAGTGCCTTCTAATCCTTAGCTGTATTGTGAAACTTGTGTGTCTGAGCTCTGGCAGTGCATTTCTTCTTTAAGAAGAAATGCTGCATGGCAAAACCTCCCTAACCTGAAATAAGCGTAAGTCAGGTGACAATCCAAAGGGAGGAAAAGCAGGTAATCCCAAGGGCAACCTATTGGATACTCTCAAGGTCATCATATTGATTAGCAACCCCCTAAGTAACTTGTGTGCTGTTCATCAGAGAGTCTGGTCTCATGCTGTTTTCATAATCCTACACACTAAAATTTAAAGATTTTCTAGCCAGGTGTGGTAGTATACACCTGTAATCCTAGTACTTGGGAGTCCAAGGATCTCAACTTCAAGACCACCCTAGCTACAAGGTGAGGGTCTGTTTGAAAAAAAAATGAACAAATCAACAAAAAGGCTTTCCAAGGACATGAGAGCAGGTATTATTATAAACAGAGCCTTGTAAGCAAGAACAGTATGACAGAAAGAATGAAGCAGACTTAGCAGTGCAGCTGCTAAGTGCAAGATTGTCCTTCCAGATTCCTTGTGTATTTGATAGACTTTTATTTTGGGTAGGCTAGATTTAGCTTTATGTTTGTTTTTATTTAGTAAGGACTTGGTGTGTATGTGTGTACGAGTGCACTGTTTTTTCAGCCTGGGTTTCCTTCTTTCTATTTCCTATTAATGTATATAATGAATCTATTCAAGCTGAAGCCACTCTGTTTGAAGACAGTGATTTCTTAAAAGTTCTCTTTAAGCTTCAGCTCTATGCTTGACAATTAAAGGCTCATGCCCTTCCATAGTCTCTCGTTTCCCCAGCTTTTAGTTGAGTGAATTTTGAACAAAAACTCTTAAATGTCATGTTCCTTCAGCTGCATTCTTCTTTCATATATCCTGCCTCTGGTTTCTATAGTATTTAAGCAAGATAAAGATTCAGCAGATTGAGAAGGACCGAGGTGAATGGGATAGTCTAACACCAGAAGCCCGCCGTGAGAAAGAGGCTGGCCTACAGATGTTTGGGCAGCTGGCACGTTTCCATAACATCATGTCCAATGAAACCATTGGTACCCTTGCCTTCCTGACATCAGGTAAAAACGCTGCTGTTGCAAAACAATGTAAGAGTCAAGATCTGCTTTCTTTGGGGGATTGGCTGAGTTGAAACACGTGACATGCTCAAGGTCCAGGGTTCCATCTCCAGTACCGCCCATACACACATACAAAAAAAAAAAAAAGAAAAATAATAAGTTAATAAACTAAGAAGTTAATAAACTTATGTGAATGCACATGTATCTATCACATATATAATACTTATACACATACTGTGTATGTATGTTGTGGTATTATAGAACTAGAATACTATGTACACTATTTATGTGTTCATCTGAAAAATATTTCAGTCCTAGGTAAATGGAATATATGGAAAATATAAAATGTCTCAGTAATTTTTATTCATTGGTCTAAATTTTTAGTACTTTCAATTAAATATGACAACCAATTATTAGGGAGGTGGCTAGGAAGGTGGTTCATCACTGAGTGCTTGCCTCGTATACATGAGGCCCTGGGTTCGATTCCTCAGCACCACATAAGCAGAAAAAGTTGGAAGTGGCACTGTATTTCAAGTGGTAGAGCACTAGCCTTGAGCTGAAGAGCTGAGGGACAGCACCCAGGCCCAGAGTTCAGACCCCAGGACCAATTAAAAAAAAAAAATGTTAGGAGAATTTGTGTTAGGGGAATTCCTCTAATGTGAAACACCAATAATAACTATAAATAAAGTTCGTCAATAAGTACAATGTTAAACAGTCAAAATATCCACAAAGTAGAAAACTGTATAGCCATTATATGGGCTAAAGCATGGCCCAAGCAATTCAACATCTGACTAGCAAGTGCAAGGCCCAGAGTTCAAACTGCAGTATCATGAAAAAATCAGAAAAGTAGCTGGGCCCAGCACTGATGGCTCACACCTATAATCCTAGCTACTCAGGAGGCTGAGATCTGAGGATCGAGGTTTGCTGCCAGCCTAGGCAGGAAAGTCTGTGAAACTCTTATCTCCAGTTAATCACAGAAAAAACTGGAAGTAGTGCTGTCGCTCAATTGGTAGAGTGCTAGTCTTGAGCAAAAAGAGCTCAGGGACAGTGGCCAGGCCCAGAGTTCAAGCCCCAGTATCAGCAAAAAATTAAAAAGAATAGAAGGATCAGAGCACTCAATGGCTCACGCCTATAATTCTAGCTACTCAAGAGACTGAGATCTGAGGTTAGTGGTTCAAAGCTAGCCCAGGCAGGAAAGTCTGTGAGACTTTCTCCAAGTATCCACCTGACAGCTGGAAGTAGAGCTATGACTCAAAGTGGTAGAGTGCTGAGCAGAAGAGCTCAGACACAGCACCCAGGGTCTGATTTCAAGCCCCATGACCAACAACAAAAAATAAAGACATAAAGGATTGCTGTTCTCTTAAATTTTCTTTTTTTGGGGGGGGAGGGGGGTCCGGTCATGGGCCTAAACTCTGGGCCTGGGCGCTGTCCCTCAGCTCTTCAGCTCAAGACTAGCGCTCTACCACTTGAGCCACAGCACCACTTCCGGCTTTTTTCTTTTTGCTTATGTGGTGCTAAGGAATTGAACCCAGGGCCTCATGCATGCAAGGCAAGTGCTCTACCTCTGAGCTACCTTCCCAGCCCCTTCTCTTAAACTTTCTATAATTATATGACTATTCCACAAATCCAGGCTGTCCACTACTGCACATGCCAAGCACATGGGACTGCTGATCATTTAAAATGTACCAGTACAATGGAGGAACTGAATATTTTATTTTTTATCTTATTTTAATTCTGTCCTAAGAGCACATATGGTCAATGGCTACAATGTTATATAGTACAAGGACATAATGGTCTCTAAAATGGTAAGATGTTTATAGTTTAAAGTGTTGCCGAATATTTACTGTATTTAAATTTTTTGCATATGTGTAAATATGGACAAAAAACATATAATAAGATGTGAACAGTTTTTGTTTTCTTTTTTAGGATTTTCTTGGGGTGGGGGGTGGGGGTGGGGGTTGTTGGTTGTGGAGCTTGAACTCTGGGCTTGGGCACTGTCCCTGAGCTCTTCAGCTCAAGGCAAGCACTCTACCACTTGAGCCACAGCACCACTTACAGTTCTCTGGTGGTTACTTGGACATAAGAGTCTCATAGACGTTCTTGCCAGGGCTGGCTTTGAACTGTGGTCCTGAGATCTCAGCCTCTTGAGTAGCTAGGATTACGGACGTGGCTCTTTTTCTTTCTTTGTTTTGGACTTTTTTTTTTTGTCACGGGGCTTTAACTCAGGGCCTCGGCTGGCTCTACCACTTTGAACCACAGCACCACTTCCAGTTTTCTGGTGGTTAATTGGAGATAAGAGTTTCATGGACTTTGCTGCCCAGGCTGGCATGAACCACTGATGCTTGCTTGTTTTAGATTTTTGCAGTGAAAATAATTATGCAGTTTTAAAAAAGCAGTTGTCTCCAGATGAAACAAACATGAGTGAAACAGCTTGCTAGTTTGCAGAGATTTTGGTCTTTCTTCCAGAGATCAAATCACTGTTCGTACACCCATTCCTGGCTGAGCGCATCATCTCCATGCTGAACTACTTCCTACAGCACTTGGTTGGCCCCAAGATGGGTGCTTTAAAAGTCAAGGACTTCAGTGAATTTGACTTCAAGCCCCAGCAGCTCGTATCAGATATCTGTACTATCTACTTAAATCTTGGGTATGTGAGATTATCATTGTACAAGCCAGAGGAAATGCGTATGTTTTGGTAGTAGAATGATTGATTGGCTTTTGTGTGGCCATTTCTAGTTATAGCTGATGAAGGAATCTTCTGTCGTTTTAAATAAGATTTGAGCACTGGGCATGGTGTTGCAGAAGGATTGGAAATTCGAAATCAGCCTGGGATATGTAGACTGTTCCAGGACAGCCTAAAAGATATAGTGAGATACTATCTCAAAACAAAACAAAAAAATTGATATTTTCTATGATCTATGGGACATTGTTTAGGATTTCCAACATTCTGCCTTGATCTATGCAAACACAAATTCTACCAGTTGCACTATTAATTTAGAAAGTACTGTTTTATAACCATAATATACTTGATGTCATTCCTAGCGTACTAGAAGTCTTTCTACAGTAAAAGAACTTTCATTGCTTATAAAGATAAGAATTATTGTTCTGTAGCCCGTCTGTTAGCACCTTGTTGACCTATGCTCTGAGGTTGTTTCTTTCTGATGTTTGCCTTCTAGGGATGAGGAGAATTTCTGTGCCACTGTGCCCAAAGATGGACGTTCCTATTCCCCAACTCTCTTTGCACAGACAGTTCGAGTCCTGAAGAAAATAAATAAGCCTGGGAATATGATTGTGGCTTTCAGCAACTTGGCAGAGAGAATCAAGGTAAGGAAGAAGATTATTTGTTTTCTCATGTTTAAAAAAAAAATCACATTATCAGCCTAATACAGTAGGATACCTTTATAATTTCAGCTACTCTGGGGTGGTAGCTCTGCCACTGAGCTACATTCCCATCCCTTTTTGAATTACGGCATTTACACAGAATTTCATGTGGATGTTGTATACTCCTTTTCCTGCTAATACTTAAATCAGCAACTGAGCCAACTTGAAGCTCAGAGTTAGGGTCCCATGCTGAATTAGCTCCAAAAATATCTGCTTTGGCTTGTTCTTGAAAACAATAAAGCTAAGATCTGTGAGTTCCTTTTAACTACCAGCTCTTGGGTTCTCAGTCTCTTGCAGACCTCCAACAACAGGAAGAGGAAACCTATGCAGATGCCTGTGACGAGTTCTTGGATCCCATCATGAGCACACTGATGTCTGACCCTGTGGTGCTGCCATCATCCAGAGTCACCGTGGACAGGTCCACCATTGCCAGACACTTGCTCAGGTATTCAGCCTCAGGAGCATAGATACCCATTAGCTTGATGTTAGCTTTTCTCTCAAATATTGAACATTGAGTTTTGTACCTAGTAAGTGCCTCATACTGTTGATTTATTGATGTGACATTTTAACATCATTTGATTAAGAATTTAAATATTAAAGCAGATATTGTTGGAAAATTCTAGCTCTAACCTTACCTCTTTTTTTGTTTTTTAAATTTTGGCCTGGCCGCTGTTCCTGAACTGTTTTGCTCAAGGGTAATACTTTACTACTTGAACCACACCTCCACTTCCATCTTTTGGATGATTACTTGGAAGTAAAAGTCTCACAGACTTTCCTGCCAAGGCTGGCTTCAAACTCAATCCTCAGATCACAGCCCCCTGAGTAGCTAGCATTACAGATGTAAGCCAGTGCCTGGCACTTTTCCCCTTCTTAAGAAAATAGTTTTGTCAACATGTCATAAAATATGTCAACATGAGGTATAGGCTAACCTGAAATTGTTTTATTTAAGTTGTAAAAACATGAAAGAGAGGGTTGTGTTTTTTTTTAATTCGGGTATTACACTGTATGAGTCATTCCTTGCTGTTGCTATATTTGTACTCAGCTATGATAACTGAATTTTCCCCAGCCCACCTGCTGTTTGGACAGTCTTGCTCATTTCTACAGAATGAAAGGAAGTACCTGCCTTATTCACTACTGAAGCAGCCCCTTTTTTTTTTTCAGTCATGGAGTCTGAACTCTGGGCCTGAGCGCTGTCCCTCAGATCTTCAGCTCAAGGCTAGAACTCTACCACTTGAGCCACAGTACCACTTCTGGCTTTTTTCCTGCTTATATGGTGCTGAGGAATTGAACCCAGGGCCTCATACATGCAAGGCAAGCACTCTACCACTAAGCCAACTTCTCAACCCTTTTTTTTTTTTTTTTGAGTTGGTGACTTGCTGTGTTGCCTTAGCCGGCCTCAAACTTCTAGAATCAATCAATCATTTGCCTCAATCCCTCAGATAGCTGAGGCTACAGGGGCATGCCACTGCACTGTGTCTGACTTGCCCCTTAACTTTCTAGGGCTTGACTTAGGACCTCTTGTTCTGGCTCAGCCTTTGTGCTCATGGCTAGCGCTCTACTCAAGTACACCTCTAATTCTGCTTTTGCTGGTTAATAGGAAATAAGAGTCTTTACAGATTTTTTGCCCAGGATGGTTTTGAACTACAATCCTCACATCTCAGCCCCCTGAGGAGCTAGAATTACAGGTCTGAGTCACTGGCACCCAGCTTCTCCATAACTGTTTAAAATACATTAGATAAAAATGGGCACTAAGTGACTATGCCTATTTAAAGTTATATAAACTGACCCAAATTTAAGGAAATCTGTACATATGGAAAAATTTTTCTGTTTCATAATATTTGATATTAAGCTTTCACTACATTCATGATGCTGTGCTAGGTATATGTCTTTTGTAAAGTGTGAGTGAAAATTATATTTCATAGTGGTCTAAGAATACAGGGAGTAGATCAATCCTTAAAGTATATTATAAATCTAATTTTTTTATAGTTCTGGGAATCAAACCCAGAGCCTTGCACATAATAGGCAAGCGCAATACCAGTGAGCAATGCTCCCAGTCCTGAGCCTTCTTACCTGCCAAGAAACCATAATCTACATTTAATTACATAGCAATTAGCTAAAAAAAGCCCAATGTCATTTGTAAGGCTATATCTCTTAATATATCTTACATTGAGCCAAGCGCTGGTGGCTCACACCTTTAATCCTAGCTACTCAGGATGCTAAAATATAAGGATCACGGTTCAAAGCCAGCCCTGGCTGGAAAGTCCATGATATTCTTATCTCCAACTACTGGAAAACTATCTTAACTACTGGAAAACTGGAAATGGAGCTGTGGCTCAAAGTGGTAAGTGCTAGCCTTGAGCACAAAAGCTTAGGCACAGGGCTGGGAAGGTGGCTCAGTGGTAGAGCGCTTGCCTTGCATGCCTGAGGCCCTGGGTTCAATTCCTCAGCACCACATAAGCAAAAAGAAAAAACCCAGAAGTGGCGCTGTGGCTCAAGTGGTAGAGCGCTAGCCTTGAGCTGAAGAGCTGAGGGACAGCACCCAGGCCCAGAGTTCAGGCCCCACGACCCAACCCAAAAAAAAAGCTTAGGCACAATACCCAGGCCCTGAGTTCAAGCCTCATGACTGGCCAAAAAAAAAAAAAAAACTTACACTGTAGTGGCCCAAGTTTGGTAGTGACCCTCTCACCTCTAGGTCCACCTACTCAGGGGACTGAGAGAGGGTCACTTGAGCCTTCCTTTGGCCTTGAGGCTAGCTTGGGCAATATAGCAAAACCCCATTACAGAAAGAAAAAGAAAAACCCTACAAACAGTGCTGTACACTGACAAGAGTGTATCTGGTCTCTGCCTTGGAGAAGTCTAAAGGCTAGTGACAGACACCTAGTATTTTTTAAGCCACTTAGAAGAAATGTCTGAACAACAGTGTTGAGGTATTTTGTTAAATGACAAAGTAGCTGAGCAAACTCCTGATTCACCCTTTCTTCAACTCACTTTTCCACAGGTCAGCATTTGACTGAGTTATAATGCACTCTTAGGTTGATAGCAGTCAAGCGAGATACTTAAATGTTCTGTTTTTGGCTTGGCATAGTACAACTTAGAGAACTCCATTTCCTTTTCTCTTTGTCCTAGTGACCAAACAGATCCTTTTAACCGTAGTCCCCTCACCATGGACCAAATCCGGCCAAACACCGAACTCAAAGAGAAAATCCAGCAGTGGCTTGCTGAGAGGAAGCAACAACAAAAGGAGCAACTTGAATAAATACTGTGAACGAAACAAACCAAAAACCCACCCCAGAGTGTAGATAGAACAACCACTTGTGGTTTTCTCTCTTTCTAGTTCTGTTCCTTTCCTTTATCAGTTTTCTTCTTCTTTACTAAGTTAGAAAAGTGTTCTTGCTCAAATTATGATAATTAAGATTCCCAAGAATTTGTCTGTGTTCCCCCTGGCTTGCAGGAAGTTCTACTTCTTGTAGCATCACTAAGTGTAGAAATCATTACTGATTTTCAGTCTTTGTTCATTCTCATTCTTTCTTCTTCGGTTTCCTACCTTAAATTATATTAAGTTCAACTACTGGAACTTTTTGCCACTTTATCTTTCCCTTTCACATACTGCTCAAAACATTTTGGTGAGCACTGCTTTTAAGTCTACGATGTCAAATAGTTCAATGACAACTTATGTTAGAAAATGCTGTGTTATCCTGTGTATTTACTAGTCCTGATGATACAGACTTAAAATCCTAATTAAGCCCTTGTCCTTATTATAGCTCTGTAATATTACAGAATAGCTTTTCATATAAAAGTAAATTCCTCCATGTTTGTGTAGATTTTTGAATGAAAGGTGAGGTTTTTTTTTTTTTTTTAAGAAATCTTATGCAACTTCTGTTGGTAGCTCTGTGTTAGGTTATAACTGTGTTAGGTTTCATCACAACACTATGACAGAGTTGTTAGCACCAAAAATTTAGCTCCTTGTCATTTTATGAGAATTAGTAATGGGACAGACTTGGAGTTTTGGCACTTTAGTCACAAAAAAAAATCTAGAAGAGAGAATAAATAGGAAGCTGTTAGGCCCTTTTCCTATTAGGAAAATCTGTTGCTCTAAGGACTAGGCCTAGGTAACAGAGCTAGGAAACAAAAATATTGTAACCATGAAAAAAAATGTCATTTTAAGAACGAATAAGTGAGTCCCTCAGCCTGTATGTATTTACACATATACCATGTGTTTTTTTGCTTTGGTATTGTATAAACTAAGTGTCACTTTATATTTTTCCCTTCATGTAAGATGTATACAGTGTAAGGCCATGTTTACTCACAAACTCGTCCTAAGCAGGTAAAATTCTAAAACTATAAAATGTATATAATGTTTGTTTGGGCTTATGACCTGGCTTCTAAGAGCTACTTCTAATATATCCTTAGTTCATCAATTAAAATAGGAATTTGAGTAAATCCTGTCCGCAAGCCATTCTGAATACCCACTTACCCCTGAGCAGTAAGTAGATGGACCCCACTTCTCCAGGCTGATCCACTCCAGTGAGCAGCTTGACATGCTGAGTTGGGCTTATTCTTCCATGGGACTCTCTACATCGGTATCCAAGCCCAGAGACATAAGGGATAAGAAAAGTGATGATGTGGAAATGGGTCAGTGCTTTCTTTAGAGGACATTATTAGTAGCCATAGCCTCTGAAATAAAATTGTTTTATGATATTCCAACACAAGTTGCTATAAGCAATCCTTTATGTAATTTTGATGGTGTTGAAAAAAACTCGTTAGAGCGGGGTCCCCCCAGCTTTGGATATTAAATTGACATTGCCTATTGCTGCACATAGCAATAAAAACAAGTCTAGGATTTTGCAAACCCTAGAATGTAAGATTAATTCGGTGGGTCCCTGGACCTTTAATTATGGGTTGACAGGATTTATTTTCTTAAAATGAGCTTCATTTCATATTTATTATTCTCCTTCCCCTCTTGGGGAATGAAGTGTATATAAAATAAGCTTCTACCTACTTGCATTTATCTTCCAAACCCAATCTAGTAGGAGATTTTCATTTAAAAGGAAGGGGAGGAAGACCAGAGTTTTGCAAAAAATAAAAAATGGAGGAGAATGGGCACAAAACCTCAGGAGACAGCTGTTCTGCAGCTTTCTAGCTAACAACCTCTATGCTGCCTCTAGTATCTGTATTGTACTTCTATTCATAGCCTTCAGGTTGTAAGCCTTTTCTAGCAAGTTTTGTTATTTTGAGTTCTTTTCCTGAGATTTTTATGAATGGCTATGGCACCACTGATGCTGCTGATAAAACTCATCAAAAAAGCTAGCACGTAGCTTAAGGCCACTATTGGCAAGGAAACCAAGTGTCCTCTGTGCCTTCTTTCTGTAGAGTAATTAAAAAATCAGACTAAAAATTGTCTTGATACAACATGGTACGTATATACATTTGGAAGTGTGAAGAGGTGCTTTGTTGGAACTCAGCAGTAGCTCGAATCTATTAGAGTAGCCTTTGTGATATACCTAAGTTTTCTGTGTTGGTTTTGCTAATGTATAATAGGAAAATGAAGACTCTAATTAGCTCTGGTATTGTTCATATAATTTACCAAGAAGCTAATACTAAACTTGTGAGAATATTATTTAAGTAGGTTTTATCAAGCAGTTAGAGGTTTTTAAGTATAGTTTTTAATAATTATATGAAAACTGAAGGAAATTTTAGAGGTATTTTAATGGTACAGGTAAAGGCACCAATGGCTGTTTGGTATCTACAAAAGCTTCATTACCTTATTTGATGCTGGTTGCTAAGCAGCCATTGCACAGAGTCAAAGTCTACTGGGTGCCTTTACCAGCAAGAGGCCGATGCTACACTGTTGTCATGTGAGGAAATAACGTGCATGCTCTTAACTGCTAAACAGGAAAAGAACCTAGAGACAGAGAAAATGAAGAACAAAACAAAAAGGTTAACTGAAATAAAACTTGATCAACATAATTGTATTTTGAAACATTCCAGGAAGGTTACTACTTGTCAAACTTGCCTGGGGTTGTTTGTTTAAAACTTGTATTTAATAAATGAACACCTGACTTACTGCCTTTGGTATCCCTTTAATGTTGTATTAAAAGCAAGTTTCAGAAATCTCTGAAAACCTGGAGAACTACCGCTTTTTTTAAGTAGGTAATATCAAGTGTGTGTGACTTGGCTGACCTAGCCAACCTCACCGGACCTCTGGAGGGGAGCCTGGGGCTAGCTCAGAAAATGAGTTACAGGAATTTTTTTTTCCTAATTAACTCCCTATTGGCTTTGATTATCTGGCCTGAACCCAGATCTTTTTTATTATCATGTAGGCCTTTTTCCCCTTGTTTCTATGGCATATAGGACCTCTGCCTAGATTAACCCAGTCATTTCCTTCTACTCTACTATCCAAGCTTTAGGCCACTGTTAGATGAGAAGTCTTTATAATGGGGCATCCAAACTTGTGGTCTCTAATACTGCCCAACAACCCTTCGTGGATCCCTAACGGCTCTCCTCAAGGCACCTTCCAAGATTTTAATGGTAGAAAACGAGGTTTAGAGTTTCTGCTTTCAAACCTTTCTCCCATTACCCCGTTTGTGAGAGAGGTCCTACCATTCCCAGACTAATTCCTTCATTTTTCTGCCTCTGCCCCTTTTTTAAGGTTTTTCTCTTGAGCTCCAGAGTCCTCTTTGCTTTTTTGACTCGTAATCTTTTATAGGCTCATTTCTTTACCCTACTGGCTTGTAAGCTTTTGAAACTGTTGTAGTTAATAGCAGAGATTTTACCCAAGACGGGAAACAGTGGTTCATGCTTGTAATCTTACTCAGGAGGCTGAGATCTGAAAACAGTGGTGAGAAGCCAGAAGTGGAGCTGTGTGATTCTAATGGTAGAGCGCTAGCCGAAAGAGAGAGAGAGAAAAAGGGGCCATGCGTTCAAGAGCCAGGGCACAAAAGGGAAAAAAAAGTTTTCCTTATTGCTAATTTTACTACCCACGGTTTTTCACATGTTCTCATCAGATGGCTCACGCAGACCTGCACATTATCATCCTGCCTTCTCGTCCTGGAGACTAGGTAGGATTCCACAGGTGTTCCCCATTTAGCTATTCCCGCCCTCACCCAGTGCTTAATTTGACGCAGTATCTAAGACAACTCGATTGCAAGGCTCCTAGCCCCTTAGACACCACCTTGTTTTTTAGCCCGCTAGCTAGTCCATTCATTTGGTACGTGGCTGTCTTTTTCTTTTTTTCTTTTTCCCAGCCATGGGGCTTGAACTGAGGTCCTGGGCACTGTCCCTGGGCTCTTTTTGCTCAAGGCTAGAGCTCTACCACTGTGAAGTACAGCTCCACGTTCCCCGTTTTCTGGCGGTTCACTGCAGGTAAGAATCACGGACTTTCTTGCCCGGGCTGGCTTTGAACCACGATCCTCAGGTCTCAGCCTCCTGAGAAGCTAGGGTTACAGGTGTGAGCCACCAGCGCCTGACTCCGGCTACATCAGGGATTCCTAGGTGTCCCCGGATCAGCACCAAGCCCACCCTGACACGGATGCTCCCTCTGCGTTTACACTGCAACCTCTTCAGATCCCAGCTCCCTCCACCACTCCGAAAGTGTGGAATCCCCGTCTCGATGGGGACCCAACCTAACACTCTCCGTGCGGGGCCCTCGGTGGTTTCCTCACTCAGAACGGCGAAGCTCCTAGCGGCTGGTGACCGAATTGGGAGACTCGGGCCCAGCCCGGACTCTCAGCCCGGGGGGGGGTTGGGGGGGGGCACGGTTACAAAACAAACTGAAGAAAGGCACAGGATGAGACCCAGGACGCAGGGCGCCTACTTGCCCCTCAAGGCCTCGGTTAGGGCTTGGACCCTTCGGTCCCTAAAAGGAGTGCCTTGGTCCCGGAGGACCCCCCACGACGCCCCCTAAAAGCTGCAAAACGCCCTACGCAAGAAAGCAAAGGTCGGCGCCAAGGAAAGCAGCGGCGCATGCGCATTTCCTTCCTTCGCCAGCCTTCCGGGCCCCCGTGACGGGCTGCCCCAACATATGCCTGTTTCAGTGCCAGATCCCACCTCCGTCCACAAGCCCGCCTTTCTCGTCTTTTCGCATCTCTTTTCTCCTCTGTCGCTGTAAAACAATGAGTGCACCATCCGTATCCCACGAAGATCGTAGAACACCGGAATATTTTGGACCGGCACGGAGCGGGGCGGCCTGACCTTGGAAGTGGGACGGGGTCCTGCCGCGGGTCCTTCCGGGGAGTGACATTCACCGGCCGTTCGGGGAGAGGGACCGTCCGTCCTGGAGCCATGGCCCAGTTCGTCCGCAACCTCGTGGAGAAGGCCCCGACGCTGGTGAACGGTGAGTGGACGCGCTGTGAGCCCGCCGAGGCGGGTACCCGGCGACGGAGGGAAGAAGTGGGCGGCGGTGGGCCCGAGGAGCCTGAGGGAAGCGGGGCGGCCTGAAGAGAGACGGGTTCGAGACTGCCCTCTAACCTGTGCTCGCCTGGCCTGCACCCGGGACTCTCCTCACCGCCTGCGAATGCCAGATGCCCACCACCGCCGTGACGAGGGGCAGGTGCCCGGCAGCCGCCCCCGCCGCTCCCCTGGGCCCCCCCTGAGGTCCGTGAGAACGGAAATGCAGGTTAGGAGAAGGGGCGAGAGGCCCGGAGCGCGGGGAGGGGTCGGCCTGCCCGGCGGGAGCTTCGGGCTAAGTGAAGTTGGGAGCGCCAGCTTTGCTCTGTCCTTCCTTCCTGGCCGGATTCGGAGGTGCTTGTGCATAATCGGAGGGGAAGCTGGGGTGGAATCGGACTTTACGGATGGATATGCCTGTCCCGGAAGCGGGTGCACCGCAGTCTTTATCGTTGTCTTTTTG